TGGTTCCCAGCCTTGACGAAACTGGCAGCAAGATATTCTGGACACTGTTTGTGAGCAATTTTATAAACATGATTTAGCTTCAGTTGTTTTACTGTCTTCAGCATTCAGCATATCCAATAGCTGTAATTCATCCTGGTAACTACGTGTAGGATCACAATAAAGATGCGAACAATGTACCTCCTAGTGGCATACCTTGTTGTTCAAGGGTAATTCATGCACAAAAATAGGAGCTGCCTTCCTTTTCCTTGGGGGCAAAATTAACACCCATTCCCTTAGGCGGATGTATACCCTAACATATTAAGGCCTCCTGTACCCAATTGGGGATGTAATCGGTGTTCTAAATTGAAATCTTAAAAAAAAAAAAATTCAGGCAAATTTTTTAAATTTATGTAGATGGACGCCGAGAGTAGACCTCTTCCTACAGCTAAAATAGGTTAAATGTAAAAGGTTCAAGTAAATAGGTGTGAAGGTAGAAAGTTGACAGTGAACATAGATAAAGAGGGGGGGAGTAAGGTGATGAGGTATCAAATGATTTTTTGATTTAAGAAAAATTGGATATTCACATTGGAGAGAGGGAGTAGGATGAAGTGATGTCTTCAGATATTTGGGAATTGACGTGTCAGCAGATGGGTTTATGGCACGGTTAGAATTGATGAAGGAAAAAAGGTGAGTGGTGCATTGAGGTATATGTGGAGACAAAAAAGTTATCTATGGAGGCAAAGAAGGGAATATATGAAAGTATAGTGGTACCAACTCTCCTATATGGGTGTGAAGCTTGGGTTGTAAATGCTGCAGCAAGGAGGCGGATGGAGGCAGTGGAGATGCCCTGTCTAAGGGCAATGTGTGGTGTAAATATTGTGCAGAAAATTAGGTGTGGTGTTAATAAAAGTATTAGTCAGAGGGCTGAAGTAGAATGTCATGGAAAGTGTATAAATCTATAGGGGAAGGAAGGCGAGGTAGGCGTCATCCTCGAAAAGGTTGGAGGAAGGGGGTAAAGGAGGTTTTGTGGGCGAGGGGCTTGGACTTCCAGTAAGCATCCGTGAGCGTGTTAGATAGGAGTAAATGGAGATGAATGGTTTTTGGGACCTGATGAGTTATTGGAGTGTGAGCAGGGTAATATTTAGTGAAGGGATTCAGGGAAACCGGGTATTTTTATATAGCTGGACTTAAGCACTGGAAATGGGAAGTACAATGCCTGTACTTTAAAGGAGGGGTTTGGGATATTGGCAGTTTGGAGCGATATGTTATATATCTTTATATATGCTTCTAAACTGTTGTATCTGGGCACCTCTGCATAAACAGTGATTATGTATGAGTGAGGTGAAAGTGTTGAATGATAAAAGTATTTTCATTTTGGGGATTTTTTTCTTTCTTTTTGGGTCACCCTGCCTTGGTGGGAGACGGCCGAATTGTTGAAAAAAAAAATAGGTTCATGTTAATAGGTTCGTGTAGATAAATGTAAACAGGTTAATGTAAATAGGTAAATGTAAATTATTATAATCAAGGGGAAGCTCTAAACCCATAGGATAATACAGCACCTGTGGGGGAATTTGGAAGGCATTCAGGTTTAATTCAGGGAACTGGAGCACAGATCCAATTCCCTAGATCAAGAGCCCCTCACCAGTATCAAGGAACCTTCCTTGGGTAAATGTAAAGAGGTAAAACACACACCATCGCACCCATCATTTGGACTGTTCAAGTCCAAATGCAATTCTCCGTGTGTAATGCCTGGCCATTAAAGAATAATTGGACCACCAGTGTAATTCAATTTTAATGGTATTTTTGGCGCAGATCTCCGAGGGTGTATTATACCCCAGGGATGCCTCAGTCTTGCCACCAGATTAGTGGGTAGTTCAGAGTAGTTGATAATTCAAAGTACATAGTTGGTAATTCTAAGTGTAGTCTGCAATTCAAAGATGCTTGAAACAGGAACAAACCTTAATTTGCAATGTCGCCCCCACAGTGAGACTATTATCAAGCCTTTGATAGTCCCACTGTGGATGAAACAGAGTAGTTAGGTGTCGTCTGCTGGTAGTTACTTCAGGGTTATACGAAGCAATTTTAAGTATCCCCTTCAGAGAAATCCTTCTGTGTATCAAACTTTCAACAGTTCTGAATTTGGTCTAATATTTTTTTTTTTTTAATTTTTTTTTTTTTTTTTTCAACAAGTCGGCCGTCTCCCACCGAGGCAGGGTGACCCAAAAAAGAAAGAAAATCCCCAAAAAGAAAATACTTTCATCATCATTCAACACTTTCACCACACTCGCACTTATCACTGTTTTTTGCAGAGGTGCTCAGAATACAACAGTCTAGAAGCATAAACATATAAAGATACACAACATATCCCTCCAAACTGCCAATATCCCAAACCCCTCCTTTAAAGTGCAGGCATTGTACTTCCCATTTCCAGGACTCAAGTCCGACTATATGAAAATAACCGGTTTCCCTGAATCCCTTCACTAAATATTACCCTGCTCACACTCCAACAGATCGTCAGGTCCCAAGTACCATTCGTCTCCATTCACTCCTATCTAACACGCTCACGCACGCTTGCTGGAAGTCCAAGCCCCTTACCCACAAAACCTCCTTTACCCCCTCTCTCCAACCCTTTCGAGGAGACACCCCTACCCCGCCTTCCTTCCCCTATAGATTTATATGCTTTCCATGTCATTCTACTGTGATCCATTCTCTCTAAATGACCAAACCCCCTCAACAACCCCTCTTCTGCCCTCTGACTAATACTTTTATTAACCCCCACACCTTCTCCTAATTTCCACACTCCGAATTTTCTGCATAATATTTACACCACACATTGCCCTTAAACAGGACATCTCGCTGCCTCCAACCGTCTCCTCGCTGCTGCATTTACCACCCAAGCTTCACACCCATATAAGAGTGTTGGTACTACTATACTTCATACATTCCCTTCTTTGCCTCCATAGATAACGTTTTTTGACTCCACATATACCTCAACGCACCACTCACCTTTTTTCCCTCATCAATTCTATGATTAACCTCATCCTTCATAAATCCATCCGCCGACACGTCAACTCCCAAGTATCTGAAAACATTCACTTCTTCCATACTCCTCCTCCCAATTTGATATCCAATTTTTCTTTATCTAAATCATTTGACACCCTCATCACCTTACTCTTTTCTATGTTCACTTTCAACTTTCTACCTTTACACACATTCCCAAACTCATCCACTAACCTTTGCAATTTTTCTTTAGAATCTCCCATAAGCACAGTATCATCAGCAAAAAGTAACTGTGTCAATTCCCATTTTGAATTTGATTCCCCATAATTTAATCCCACCCCTCTCCCAAACACCCTAGCATTTACTTCCTTTACAACCCCATCTATAAATATATTAAACAACCATGGTGACATTACACATCCCTGTCTAAGACCTACTTTTACCGGGAAGTAGTCTCCCTCTCTTCTACACACCCTAACCTGAGCCTCACTATCCTCATAAAAACTCTTTACAGCATTTAATAACTTACCACCTATTCCATATACTTGCAACATCTGCCACATTGCTCCTCTATCCACTCTATCATATGCCTTTTCTAAATCCATAAATGCAATAAAAACTTCCCTATCTTTATCTAAATACTGTTCAATAAAACCCTAAGCTGTATGGTCCATGCAAGAGCTTTTTTATAATGGAAACTCCTAATAATGTGTAATTCTTGAAAAAAAATAATTTTACTTTTACCTATATATTTCGTAGGGAAGCACTAAACCTGTGAGTCACAGGGCCTTGAGAATGGGAAGCAATCATCAGACTCAATCCAAGGAATGGGAGGATATCTCCAATTCTTAGAATCAACAGCCCTTCACTGGCACAGAACTACAAATTTTAAAAATGTTAAACTTCCTCTTGTAAGTAAACTGGTGTGGCCATATATGAGATATTAAATAAAATTGAGCAGCCCTACACAATGGCATATACACAATTTTCTTGAAACCCTGTTTCAGTGATTAAATTATTGCATTTTGGGGTCATAGAGAACCTGGGTAGACGAGAGGCAATCAGGTACAATCCAAGGAAGAAGTGAACAAGGCCAGTCCTTATGATCAAGAGCCTCTCACCAATATTAAGGAACTTCCTTCTAGGGGTTTAGGGATTCAAGTATCTTTGACTGGTGGTGTACAGGTGACAGAATAGAGAAAACAGTGATTAACTTGAACTTTCTTATTACATATACCTAAACCCATAAGGTTCAAACAGCAAACTTTTCTCATAAAAGCTGAGAATATTCGGTTTATTCTTTCACATTAAGGAACATTGGTCATCAGTTGGAAAAAATTCTCATTTGTGGTACACTACCCTTCCAGAGAAGCGAGTTGCCCAGATGGTGGTGAAGAGTTTTTGATTCAAGGAATTGAAGTTACCCTTCCCATCCTTGGATCAAACATGATTACCTCCCTCTCGTAACTGTATTTCAGTCCTTTCATCTTCAAATCTGCCTTAGATACTTGAAATTTTAATTCGGTATCAGTGAAAATGTACTGGAGTAAGTGGAATGAAGACATTAGTCACTAGGAAGCAGTAGTGAGATGCTATAACACCCCTCAAAGAAAGTGCCTTTGTCATCTTAGTTTATATGGAGTTCATTGGTGTGAATGCACAAGTATCTAAGCCAGGTCTTAGCCTGTGTTAGAGGTCCTGAGAGGAATATGTCCAGCATGGACACCAGGCCTCCTGGTTGATGGTCTGATCAACCATGCTCTTGGTGGAATCCAACATATGCTATTTTTTTTAACTGGGAAGCTCTAAACCAGCAGTCCATACAGAACCTGGGGAATAGGAGGCATCGTTTTGATTCAAGGAAGGGAAGGGAAGTCATACTGATTGTATTTTTCAACAAAAATTGTAAGGCAGATCAGGTGCTGTACAACCCCTAAGTTAAGCACTTTCCTATAAATATAATACAGGGAAAATCATATTTATCTAATAATCAGACCACTAATGATAATCAAAAACAGAACTTGTATATAACTTTTTATTAAGTAATTTCACAAGGGTTAAAGGTAACAAAATATCCACCAAAGACAAGATAGCACAAACTAAGATTTCTGATATATATTATAAATGTTAAATTAAGTTGTATCATGTGCAGCTTCTAATCTTAAAACATCCATTTCAAAATTAAAAGTGAAAAAATAAACTAAACCCAAATACAGACATACTGAAGGATGCAGTCTTAGTCCGTCTCCATTGAATCGCCCTGAAAAGAAAAAATTAAGTGTTGACTGTTTTGTATTATAAGCCTTGTGGTTTACTTTATTGGTGGGAATGTGGCTGTGGTTGCAAGCCAACACGTGGTGGAAAAAAGACATTTATAGTAAAAGAAGAACTATTATTATTATAACAACATGCAGCTTTATGCAGAAGGTTATTATTACAGTATCTTCAGAGCTCAAAATCCATATAGGTCTGCTCTTTTTTGTGAAATGTAATAATAAAAGGTCTCCTTTTGCTACATGTCTTTTTCCACAGTGTTGTTGGTTAAATAGTGAGTGTAGTAATGTTTGTGGAATGAATATATTCCACAAGTACATATGCAGAAACACATGCATGTATTCTCTATAGCGTAAGCTACTGACAAGTACATATAAGCGAAGTATATGTACAAGGAAGTTATATGGAGAAAGCCTGCATGCAAGTATGTGTACAAGCAGGTTACATGCAAGGAGTGTGTGTACAAACAAGTTAGACACAAGGACAAAGCCTATGTACAAGTAGATTAAAAGCAAAGAGAGCCTATGTACCAGCAGGCTACAAGAGAAGCTTGTGTACAAGCAGGATACAAGGAGAAAACTGGTGTAATAAGTTACAAGTGAGGTAAAGGCACTATACAATTTGTATGGGTTTGGTGCTTCCCTAGGAATCTTCTTTCAACAAACCTGCCATTATTCCACCGAGGCAGGGTGGGCCCAAAAGAAAAATTAAAAGTTTCTCTTTAACTTTAGTAATGTATACAGGAGAAGGGATTACTAACCCCTTGCTCCTGGCATTTTAGTTGTCTCTTATGACACGCATGGCTTATGGAGGAAGATCCCTGTTCCACTTTCCCAGGAATGTAAGTCAAATAAGGATTGCAATCATATCGTGGTGAATCACATTCCGTAAGGGTTAAAGAGGTGCAGAATGGAAAGTGATCAAATACATATGATCAATAGAAGGGAAGCTCCATTCCTTGAATCAAGAGACCATCTCCCTGCATCAAGGCATCCCTTATTGAAGGAATTAACACATGTTACAAGTGTGGAGTAGGTATTAAAGGAGGAAAGACTATAGAAGGGGCATGTGTATATAGAAAGAACAGAGGAAAAACATGGCCAAGAAGAGAAGCATAAAGGAATGAATACAAGGTTTCATACCAGTGTCGATAAATTTTTGCACTGATCAAGTACTGTAGTGCAATAGAAAAACTATAACAGCTTAACATTAAAATAATTTAAATTTGCATTAGTGAAGAGTGAAACACATGCAATATGATTATTTTCTGCATTCTAACCCTGTCTCATACTGGATCTATATCATTAACACCAGCATTTCTCATGTAGATCTACATTTTAAGTACAGCTCCATCAAATATGCTGCGAGTGTCAAATTTTGGCCTAGATATGAGAGAATAAATATGCAGTAAGAGTGCCAAGTAACTGACTTAAGAAATCGTAATGACACGATTGCAAATAAACCATACCCCCGGCCGGGATTGAACCCGCGGTCATAGAGTCTCAAAACTCCAGCCCGTCGCGTTAGCCACTAGACCAGCTAGCCACAATAAGATTCATCCAACTAGGTATATTTCTACACCATAGGAAAGTTAGCACAGGCACCTCTGTGACCACAAATGCAAGTTTTTACAGACGAATCTCCAGTTAGCGTGGCCGTGACGAACTCTAGCTCAAGTCCCTTCATTTGCAATCGTGTCATTACGATTTCTTAAGTCATGTTGACGGCAGTGAAGGGACTTGAGCTAGAGTTCGTCACGGCCACGCTAGCTGGAGATTCGTCTGTAAAAACTTGCATTTGTGGTCACAGAGGTGCCTGTGCTAACTTTCCTATGGTGTAGAAATATACCTAGTTGGATGAATCTTATTGTGGCTAGCTGGTCTAGTGGCTAACGCGACGGGCTGGAGTTTTGAGACTCTATGACCGCGGGTTCAATCCCGGCCGGGGGTATGGTTTTTTTGAGTGCCAAGTATATAAAAAAAAATCTTGCCCCTATGCAGTGTATGATGGAAAAAGCAAACCTCTGACCTTGTATATGGTTAATAACAGTGACCCTGAGGTATTTTCTAGTGTGACTTTTATGGTTTTAGTAGGCATTTCTTGGTATCAACTAACAGAGTGGAAGACATACTAGTAAAGAAGTGATGACTCTGGTTTATTTCAGACCAAAAGTAGCTTGAAATAAGGCTCAAAATATCAGAAAAATTAGACTTTTAATGGGTTTTTAACAAGTCTACTTCAATTATTGCAAAGAAGTCACTAATTTAGCCAATTTTACACAAAATTAAAAAAATTAAATTTAATGACAGAGTACATGATAACAATGCAGATATTCCATGCATTAAAACATTTTTCTATTTATTAATCACACCCCCAGGCCTCTCCTGTATTACACTTGCTTTCCATTTGAATTCACAAAAAAATTTAAGATTTATCCTATTTCTTGTATAATACAATATAACCAGGAATGATTTTTCATGGTTTATGGCACCCCAATAATTGAATAAAACCTAGTAAAAACCCATAAAATAAACCAGGGGGTATAGGGAAACCTTACCCGTCCTCAGAAAAGTTGGTAAAAATCAAATTTCCTGCTACCTTAAGCTCAATTTCAAGCAACTTCCATTTCAGCCAATAAATTTATTATATTTTTTTTTAAATCATAATGCTGTCAGAAGTTTTAATTTTGAAGATGACAACAGTGGAGAAGTTTAAAAAAAAAAATACAAAAAAATAATAATTACAGTTAATGTCAAATTAATAAACAGTCTTCATAAAATTTGTATAATACAGCATAAATTCAGCAGGTTAAAAATAGTGTTAATAGTGATGTATTAATGCATCCAAATGTATACTGTACATCAAAGTGAGGAAAAATTATTGTACATATACTATACTATAAGAATTGGATGACTTCTCTTCCCTGGGCATTTTCAATCTTTAATGGCATAACACTTTGCAGCATTTTTCCCCTTAACAAGACTCCCAAAAGAGCACCTACAACATAAGTGATGATTAATATTCTATTCAAATAACAAGTGTCAAGGCCATATGGGTTGTATAGATTTTTTTTTTCTTTTTTTTTTCAACAAGTTGGTCGTCTCCCACCGAGGCAGGGTGACCCAAAAAAAGAAAGAAAATCCCCAAAAAGAAAATACTTTCATCATCATTCAACACTTTCACCACGCACACATTATCACTGCTTTTGCAGAGGTGCTCAGAATACAACAGTTTAGAAGCATATACATATAAAGATACACAACATATCCCTCCAAACTGCCAATATAGATATAAAACTGAAAACAAAGCAAGGTGCTTAGTAAAATTACAAAAGAACACAAGAATGGACAGTGTGAAGATGGAGAGAATGGAACTAAGTGACCAGATTAGAGAGTACAAACTTTGACCAAAGTACAGTACCTTCAATGAAGCAAGCAGTAACCACTTTATTTTAAACATGATGGTGCTTCCAATGGCAACCAAGTTAGTCATTTGCATATTCGACATTACCTAGATCTGTCAGATATTACATATTAAATATTTTTCCTTCCTTGCCTTGACACCAGAAAAGTGTTCTTATTAGGAAAATGAAGCTACTTCCACTTTTTTTTTTTCCTCAAGTCTGCCATCTCCCACTGAGGCAGGGTGACCCAAAAAGAAAGTACTTTCATCATCATTCAACACTTTCACCTCACTCATACACAATCACTGTCTTTGCGGAGGCACTCAGATACGACAGATTGCCTCTCATTCCTCAGGCACTGTATACCAGTATTACTGACAACATTACGGATTTTTTTTTTAAACCAAAGCAGGTAACAAACTTTACCTGCTGTGCTGGCTGTGGGTCAGAAAAGAAAAGTCATCATCTATTTTATCATATTAATACATGACTGGGCATGCCAAATTACATTTCTTAGTGTGCACAACTAAAATTCTCTTTTATACCTAAGATTTATGTTACATTTTTGCTGCAGAAAGGCACAAAATGCAATCACTAAGACATGTTTTTTTTAGAAACATTTTGGCCCTGGGACCAAAACATTTCCAATAAGCATATCCTAGTACAGTGGACCCTCGACCAACGATATTAATCCATTCCTGAGAGCTCATCGTTAGTCGAAATTATCGTTAGTCAAGTTAATTTTCCCAATAAGAAATAATGGAAATCAAATTAATCCATTCCTGACACCCCAAAGTATTGAAAAAAAAATTTTTACCACATGAAATATTAATTTTAATACACACAAACTGAAGAAGACATGTACAATTACATGACACTTACCTTTATTGAAGATCTGGTGATGATTGATGGGATGGGAGGAGGGGAGTTTGTGGATGGTGTTAGTGTTTAGAAGGGGAATCCCTTTCCATTAGGACTTGAGGTGTCAAGTCCTTTTCCGGGGTTACTTCCCTTCTTCTTTTAATGCCACTAGGACCAGCTTGAGAGTCACTGGACCTCTGTCGCACAACATATCTGTCCATAGAGCTCTGTACCTCCCATTCCTTTACAATTTGTCTAAAATAGGCCACAACATTGTCATTGTAATAGTCACAAGCACGGCTTGCAATAGCTGTGTTAGGGTGATTTTCATCCATAAAGGTTTGCAGTTCAACCCACTTTGCACACACATTTCCTTAATCTTTGAAGTAGGCACCATGGATTCCACAACTGGCATAAGCGTCTCAGGGTTAGCCCCAAACCCTTCAAAATCTTTCTTAATTTCCATACTAATACTCACCCTTTTTATCACAGGGATGGCACTAGAAGCTTTCTTGGGGCCCATGGCGACTTCTTTTGCAGGTGCAATCACTAAAAACGCTGTGATAATATGAAATGTTCTGATTGTATGTTTGGATGCGACCGCAGTGGCTGGCTTGTAAACACTGTGCAGGCCACACGTGGACGTGTCTCGAACGGAACGAATCGTGTTGGTCGAGTTTTTTAGCGCTTGTCGAGGCAAAATTTTTGCGTTAAAATGAATTGCTAGTCGGATTTAACGTTATATGATGCCATCGTGGGTCGAGGGTCCACTGTAATTGCATTTTGTCTTCTGCACTACCTGTAACTTATCCCTTGATATAACCTATGTTTTGACTACAATAATGCGAGGGAAAATGTTAGAATTAACCCTTTCAGGGTCGCCAGGCCCTCTCCGAGACTTTTTCTCAGGGTCGCCCAAATTTAAAAAAAAAAAAAAAATATTTTTTCTTATGAAAAGATAGAGAATCTTTTCCTGATCATAATGACACCAAAAGTATGAAAATTGATGGAAAACTTACGGAAATATGCTCTCGCAAATTTAGCGGTCTTGATGATTTTTATGCATTGGCGATTTTGCCCACTTTGAGCCCTATTTTCGGCCAATTCCAATGTACTAGTCAACAAAAATCATAACTATTTCACTAGAACTCCATTTTTTCTATCGAATTTCAACTATCCAATACAGTGGTCAGAATTTAGCAATTTTGCCAATTTCACACTAATTTCAAAAGATGCCAATTTCCAAATAGGGTCCACAATAAACAAGAAAGACATTCCTGGCACTAAAATAGCATTTCCTCTGTTCACTAGTCACGTCCCCATGCCCCTCTTACATTCTTTTGCTTTCCACTTTGAATTTTTATTCTCACAAAAAACAGAAGATTTACTGTTATGCAGAGTCCTGCGTTAGTGTAGAAATGGTATAAATAATATTGGTGCACTTGTGAAAGAATATTAGACTCACCAGTTGACGTGTATTGGACGCGTAGCATGATTTGTTTACTTTTGAACTTTGGTAAAAATCGAACATTTCTGCTACTTTGAGCTCAATTTCAAGGTACTTTTCTTTGTAAAACCAGTCAAAATCATCTCAATTTCTGTAATATGTCTTCCATTCTATAAAATGAGACCAGGAAAACTAGAATACAACAATAAATACCATACGAAAATACAGTGCAAAGTTGCCGTTTTAATCCAAAAACACGGTCAAAGATTTTTTTTTTTCTCATTATGCACTGTGTGCTGCAGGTTTTTTTTTATACTGCACACACTGACCCATTCTTTCATATGTAGGCCTACCAACTTTGTGGAGAAATTTTCTCCAGGAGGGGGTATCAGCCCCCTTCAGCCCCTTTCAGCCCTGAGGGGCCCAGCCCTCTCAGAAAGGGCAAGCGTCTTGTTTACTGCTACAGTGAGTAATTGATCACATATGCCGTACGAGTATGCGACGTGGTGAAGTTGACCGCTGCTCCTTGCAGTGCAGTGTTGCAAAGTGTAGCTTAATAAAAGACAGTTCATCTCTTACTTTAGCAGGACAATTTAAGGAAAATCCTGCTCCCACTTTATTACCATGGTAAAGATAGTGGACATTGTTGTTTATGCTTAAGACAGCAAGAATCAAACATTCTGCTTTGCTTCATCGAGGAAGTGGCAAGGAAGCAAAAGTACTAGGTCAGCTTTTTCTTTGTGCTAGGGGAGTGACGGCATGGGGCGCTGTGGCGTCTTCAGATTACTTTTGACTCTACTGAGAGTGACACTGACGCCAGGATAACCAACAAAGAACACTGATCTGTGCGTTAGTGTGAACAAAGTATCTCATAAAACACAATAAACACTTAAGAGAAGTGTGATCAGCTTCTTCAGTGATAACATTGTGAACAATAAAGACAAATCTTGTGAAACATAGTGTACCAGTGTGCGTTTCCTAGACACTGGAAGACGTGGACATCCAAGGACACTTCAGCTTCTATCAAGTCACCGATACCTGTCGAAGGTGTGAAGAACACCATAGCTCACGTTACAAGAGCAAGGTATGTTATGAATTTCTTGTAGTACGAGGGACTGCGCAGTACTTGAGTCGCAAGGAGTTTGTAATCAACCTATAGTCGACAGTAAGGTGTGGACTTTTGAGTCCAAACAAGTATGTATTTTGTCAGCCATCAGTGAATGAAATATGCTGACATAACACCCCCTAGGGGTAATTTATAATCTTACAAATTATAAATCTTTACAGCCCGTTGAAAGATGGTTTCGACAGCTTCTAGTCCTCGTCTGCAGGGGCGGCTGTGTAGACGATTTGCTGTCTTTTATCAGCTAAGTGTTCACTATATTTATATTTATAAATTAAGCTTAGCTGGTAATGCCATTTCTCAACAAACTTTCTCTCACTAGATTTGAGGGCGCTAGAATTTAGGTGTACCAGTACGTCAAAAACCCTGGTGCGTAAGCCGTACTAGTACGTCAAACCCTGAGAGGGTCTACCCTTTCAGGGTCCATGCCGTAGATCTACGGCTTTACGTTCAGGGTCCAAACCGTAGATCTACACCTTGAGCACAGCTCACTCTGGTAAGCTGTGAGTGGTAAAATTTGGGCCTAGATATGAGAGAATACATCTACGTGGTACGTGTGCACCCCATAAAACAAATCCTGCAGCACACAGTGTATGAGAGAAAAAAAACTGAGACCGTGATTTTCGATTAAAACAGAGACTTTGCAGTGTTTTTTGTATGTTTTTTATAGTTGTATTTGCAATTTCTTGGTCTCATTTGATAGAATGGAAGACATATTACAGAAATAGAGATTATTTTGATTGGTTTTAGCACTGGAAATGGCTTGAGACTGAGCTCAAAGTAGTGGAAATGTTAAATTTTTGCCGATGTTCAAGAGTAAACAAACGATCTCGCACATCTAATAAACACCAGCTGGTGGGTCTAATATACATTCACAAATGTGGTGATGATATTTATACAATTATTATAATATTGCATAACAGTAAATTTTCTGTTTTTTGGTTTGAATAAAAACTGTGTGAATAAAAATCAAAATGGAATTCATTTGTAAAGCCTCAAAACATAACTAATGAACAGAGGAAATGTTAGTTTAGTGCCAGGAATACCTACATTGTTTATTCTGGACTCTATTTTGAAATTGGAATATTTTGAACTTTGTGTTAAATTGGCCAAATTACCAATTTCCGATCATTTTATTTTGCAGTTGAAACAGCTGACTTGGCGATTTCTTGTGCTCAATCGATAGAATAGAAGTACGTTATACTAGTGAAATAGCTAAGAATTTGGTCAACTGGAATAATGTAATTGGCCTAAAATGGGAGTCGAAGTCGGCAAAATCGCCGACTTCAAAATTCGCGAGAGCATAATTTCGTCAATTTCCCATCAAATTTCGTACTTTTTGTTTTATTACCTTCAGAAAAAGATTCTCTACCATTTCATAAGAAAAAAAATTTTTTTTTTTAAATTCTTGGACCCTGGTGTGCACTTTGAAATTTGGCCTCTGGACCCTGAAAGGGTTAATAACTAAGCTTCCACCTCACAAATTTATATATGCCATATGTGTAATTCTTCATATATGCCACTCTCATAGCTGTCATTTTAAACCTTATGATGCAGAGGCTATGACAGCAATGTGATGATTGCTATGCAGGAAACCTAATTTAGTCCAATTTATTTAGACCTGTGACTACCATTATGATAAACAATTCACATATATCATCAGTGTTCCCTTATAGGATATGAAAACACATCATGTTGTCTGCTGATGCAGAATAAAAAAAAAAGATTTATTCCCATCTGCCAAAACAAAGTATACCCTGTCAATGGTTCTGCGATTATCTTCCCCATGATCCAGTCTCATACCAGGCCTCCTAAGTTAGAAAGGAAATATTACTGGATTAAGAATTATTAAGATGTGTGTTTACTGAATTTAAGATAAGTAGAATGTGGCAAGATTAACCTGTTGGCTTAAGTATTCATAAAAGAAAAAACATCAGCAATCCTGCCCAAGTGCAAAAAATTAATGAATTTCCATTTTACACTCATTCGTTAGGACGGTACTGTAGTATTGTCATCAAATGTGTATGACTTACACCTGGGGTTATGTTAAAATCTGGTTGTTTTAGTGAAAGAATATCCTCCTTTCCTTTCTCTTATGGCAGTTAATATACAGCACCTAGAGTCCAGATTATTTTTTCTCTTTGCTAATTTTATTTTTCTGTGAACAGTGACTCCCTTAATGCTAGTTTCATTGAGTCTTCCATATGACAAAAGTATTCATCATCCATTACTTTCATTCACTTCAATTTCACTTCTTTATTCACCTTATTCATAAAGTATTTAAATATCATCCTTGAACAACATAATTTTAAAGCATTATTAATTGCCTTAAATCATGTACTGTATTTATATAAAATATAGTACAGTAGGGCCCCGCTTTTCGGCATTTTGCCTTATGGCATTCTGCTAATACGGCGATCTCAAATTATGACCAAAACTTTCTATACTGCAAGTGGTCTTTCAAATACGGCATGGGCCACCCAGTTTGTTTACATTCTCCATGAGCACATCTCTCTATTATGTAATAATAATCACTCTTGGGCACATTAAATGTCTAATTTTACATCAATATAGACATGTTCTATATATGCATTTTATCGCTCTAGGAAGCTTAATGTCGTAGGTGTAAGTGGCCAGGCAGGATGCCATACCTCCCACACGACTTTCTACAAATAAATACTTTTCACCTATCAACATACATTAAGACCATTAAGACTACAAATATTTTAAGGTAAGTAATGCGTGTACTGTATATGCATTTTATCGCTCTAGGGAGCTTTAAGCATCATAGTATAGTATGTGTGAGTGGGGTGGCCAGGAGGGCTACCACACCTGACTTTAGAGTAAATGCTACTCACCTTTTGCCCTACATTAAGACTACAAATATTTTGAGGTAAATAATGAGTGTACTGTGTGTGTATTTTACTTTTTAATGCCTAGTTCTATTGCTAACTTAATATATGTTAGTGTAAACTTGTTATCTGGCATTTATATGCATTTATAAATGGAAAAAATGGAGTTCTGCTTTCCGGCAAAGTCTGCTTTCTGGCAGTAACCTGGAACCTAACCTGCCGAATAAGTGGGGCCCTACTGTATAGACAAATTATTGCACGATTCTAACCTGTGGCTGCTCGTCTGTTGGAGGTGGTGGAGGTGCAGAGGCTGCATCATCCTCCTCACCAGCAGCAGTAGGTGCAGCTGGTGGTTGAGCGTCTCTAGCTCCTCCTGCACCACCCCGTCGTTCCTCTTGGTCTAGGCCTTCCAGGTATGGATTTACATCATCATCATCATATATACTAAGATCCTCACCTTTACCTACTATTGCTATGCTGCAGTTCTGAAAATAGTTAAAGGTTAATGCCGAAAGCACTCAAAAAGATTTTACAAAAAAGAACGTATGAAAGTGAATGAACAAACCATTGAACTACAAATATTAATAACCAAAATACTTCACTAAAACTTTAGGCAGCATATCTCTGCTTAAAACGTCTGTTTATCAAATAAAACAAAGCTACTTTATTTTAAGCTTTTCCAAGAGATTCCTAGATGCTGGTGAGGGGTTCTTGACCCAAGGAACTGAACCTGACTTTCCCTTTCTAAGACTGAACCTCACTGCTTACCAATACCCCCCTGCCAAGGTGCTGTATGACCCCCTAAAAGTTTAGTATTCTCCCTTCCTCATGTGAATGTAATAATAATAGTTCTTTGTAGGCAAACATTTTTTACATGGACTTTTCAAGTGACAAAGAAAATATTTAAATCATGAGTTTTTCCTTCTTAATATACACAGCACAAACAACGGTCAAATTTTTATTTGACTAAATTCACTTAACCCAAAAACACAAATGTAAATAATATATCTGAACATATACATGGCTACATACTGTACTTTTAAAGAACGAGTGTTCTAATTTACAAGCACAATTTAATGCATTAAACCCATAGGATCATAAAGTACCTGGTGGAAGATAATAAGATTTAATCCAAGGAATGAAAGGCTAGCTCCAATTCCTTATAGATCAGGAGCTCTTCACCAGTACATATCAAGGCACCCCTACCTCTCAAGAAGTGTATTAAACTTTAAATTTACAAGAACTACGTTAAATCTACATATACTGTAAAAATACAGTAGAGAGCCCTACTATACTGTACGTATATGCAAATTTAATAAAATAAAATATGGATACCTTATTGGTGAGTTCAACATCATTTGGAAGAGTATCTCTAAGAGCACGTAGTGCATGACGGATAAGCTCTTCCCGAGTAGAACTGCGAAACTCATCAAGGTGGCGTTCAAGATAGGTACGAGCACTCTGGGAACGTGCACCTATTGCCATGGCCTGGCAGTCATAGTAGTTAGCAGAGGGACAGGTCTGGTAGATATGGGGGCCATCTTCATCGAAGCCTGCTAATAAAAGACCAACACCATATGGCCTCTTGTCATAGCGCTGAGTTGCAATCTGCATTTTGGCACCAACACGTTCCATCAGTTTATTTAAGGATAGAGCCTGATTATGAGCAAACTGTTCATTTAAGCACTCTGTCCGCATGAATCTTGATAAGACACGAGCATCAGCAGTCAGTCCTGAGATTGAAACAGCAATATGTTTGTCAATTGGCATTATTTTCTTCTGGTGAGCTGCAAGTTCCGAAGAAGCTCTCTTTAAGGCAACCAGTACAGCATGGGATGAGCTCTTGACACCCACAGTAGCAGAACCCTGTTTCACTGCTTCCATGGCATATTCCACCTGAATGATACAAAGTTACCTTTAATTACTGTACAAAATGAAATACCCAATATTTTTATTAGTACAGTGTATCTTTATATACAGTAATGCTGACATAAACTGCTCTGGCAAAACAAATCTCATACAGGGGTTGCCAACTTACAAGCGAGTAGCATGCCTGATAATCTAACTTATGACTCTGTAATTTGTAGCCATGAACCTATTATTCTATGGGAAATGATAGTACAAACAATAACTGTCTGCCACACTTGTTAATAAATGCAGACCAGCATTCATAAAACTTTTCTCAATATTGTATAGAAGTCTTCGAGGCCTTGCTCATAAATGCTGATCATTGTAATGCAGGAAGCTGTAAGTCAGGGACCCCTGTATATAGTATTCTTCAGTACAGTACAAGTACTCGAAATGCTATAGAATGAAAATGGCAAATTTTTTAACAGTTTGTTAATTAGGAGATATCTGTGATCAATTTAGAATGCTTTTCCAGCCTAGTAACCCAACCTTTAGGCAAACTTCCTTGCTGAATGTCTGTTCAACCAGGCTGTTGCTGTTACTGGCCCAAGGACCCATATAGTCATCAGCCTGGTTGATCTGGAACTTTTCAGAGGTAGAAAACCTATTTCCTTTTGCAGACCTCTACATTTGCTCTAGAAATACCATATTTATAAATTACTGGAAATCTTTTTTTAACATAAACTATTATAATAATTAAAAATAATTTACTGATATCTACCAACACACCTGGTGGAGGCGCCCTTGCGGAGACCACACTGTGACATCATTATCATACTGATTCCGAAACTGAAATAAACAAATAAAACTTAGCAGTTGGTCAGACTTTGCCATTGCTCATTGCACTTATAATTAAATTAGGACACATTATAAGAAGTAACTGTGCAGTATACTGTGTATATTGAGTGAAACCTTCTAAACTTGACCTCTGAATACAGTACCAATCACAATTTTCAAGGAAGCTCTAGGCTGGTGACTAAAAATATTAAACCACCACTGCATACTAGTGTGCACTCATTTCGTAAGATTTGCAAATCTACACACACACACAGTGATTCTTCAATTAACAACACTGATGTGTACCACCAAACCTGTTAGGCAAATTACCATAAAATATAACATATTTTTATAGATATCCATTATATAACAAAAGCTGCATTCCAGGATGTACTGACAAAATTTAAAAAATATTTACTCCTGTAGCCTTCTAGTGTCCACGTCAGAAATTAATTTATGGCCCATTTTAGTGTTAACGGCAGACTTACTTATGTTGCTCATCAGATCTTCTATAGGCAACTACAATTGGGAGGTGCATCTCGCACTCAGCAGACAGAGGAATCAAGTCTCCACTGTCTTGCACTGAATGACCCACATGGGTTTAGCACTGAACATGAATTATTATTATTATTATTATTATTATTATTATTACGTATTATTATTATTATTATTCCTTCATACTCTGCATACTAAGGGGCTTTCTGTATGCACACCAAACTGTCACCCATTTCTGTACAAACATTGTAATATGTTGAAATAAAGAATCTTTAATCAATGTCATTTATGTAGAGCATAAACAGGGTTTATGCTTTACATAAATGCTCCTTCACTGGATCGAGCCTGAGTGCTTCCCATGCCTTATGCACTATACGACCCTTACAAGTTTAGCACTTCCCTATAATTAAAATAAGAAAATAAATACAACTGGGTATGAAAGAAGAGATTAAGGTATTTTTTCATACCTTCAATAGGAATAACAAGAGGGACTTCCTTCTCTACTAAAACAGTGACAGTCACTACGTACTTTCATGGCCACTGTTTTACAATTACTAACCCAAAAGATTATGGGATTTCATCCGTTGATGACAAATTCCTTGGAATATTTAACCCATTCAGGGTCCGTGCCATAGATCTACGGCTTTACGTTCAGGGTCCAAACCGTAGATCTACACCATGAGCTCAGCTCACTCTGATAAGCTGTGAGTGGTAAATTTGGGCCTAGATATGAGAGAATACATCTACGTAGTACGTGTGCACCACATAAAACAAATCCTGCAGCACACAGTGTATAATGAGAGAAAAAAACAGACCGTGATTTTCGATTAAAACAGCGACTTTGCAGTGTTTTTTCGTATGTTTTTATAGTTGTATTTGCAATTTCTTGGTCTCATTTGATAGAATGGAAGACATATTACAGAAAGAGAGATTATTTTGATTGGTTTTAGCACTGGAAATGGCTTGAAACTGAGCTCAAAATAGCGGAAATGTTAAATTTTTGCCGATGTTCAAGAGTAAACAAACGACCTCGCACATCTAATACACGCCAGCTGGTGGGTCTAATATACATTCACAAATGTGGTGATGATATTTATACAATTATTATAATATTGCATAACAGTAAATCTTCTATTTTTTGGTTTGAATAAAAACTCATGTGAATAAAAAATCAAAATGGAATTCATTTGTAAAGCCTCAAAACATAACTAATGAACAGAGGAAATGTTAGTTTAGTGCCAGGAATACCTACAATGTTTATTCTGGACCCTATTTTGAAATTGGAATATTTTGAACTTTGTGTTAAATTGGCCAAATTACCAATTTCCAATCACTTCATTTTGTAGCTGAAACAGTTGACTTGGCGATTTCTTGTGCTCAATTGATAGAATAGAAGTAATACTAGTGAAATAGCTAAGAATCTGGTCGAGTGGAATAATGTAATTGGCCTTAAATGGGTGTTGAAGTCGGCAAAATCATTGATTCATAAATATCGCTGACACATCAAAATTCGCGAGGGCATAATTTCGTCAATTTTCCATCAAATTTCATACTTTTTATTTTATTACCTTCAGAAAAAGATTCTCTACCATTTCATAAGAAAAAAAAATTCTTGGACCCTGGTGCACACTTTGAAATTTGGCCTCTGGACCCTGAAAGGATTAAGTCACCATAGCCTAGAGGCAATTTCCAAGTACTACCTCATCCAGTTATTGACCAGAACTATTGGTGCTAACCTGGTAATGCTGAAGAATTGGTGGTACAAACAGGAATGAAAACCTTGTTTAACCCTTTCAGGGTTCAGAGGCCAAATTTCAAAGTGCACACCAGGGTCCAAGAATTTTCAAAAAATAATTTTGTTATTTTTTCTTATGAAATGGTAGAGATTCTTTTTCTGGAGGTAATAAAACAAAAAGTACAAAATTTGGTGGAAAATTGACGAAATTATGCTCTCGGAAATTTTGATGTGTCAGCGATATTTATGCATCGGCGATTTTGACGACTTTGACTCCCATTTTAGGCCAATTACCTTATTCCAGTCGACCAAATTCTCATTCTATCGAATGAGCACAAGAAATTGCCAACTCAACTGTTTCAACTACACATTAAAGTGATTGGGAATTGGTAATTTGGCCAATTTAGTGCAGAGTTCAAAATATTCCAATTTCAACATAAGGTCCAGAATAAACAATGCAGGCATTCCTGGCACTAAACTAACATTTCCTCTGTTAATTAGTTACGTTTTCAGGCTTTACAAATGAATTCCATTTGAATTTTTATTCAAACCAAAAAATAGAAGATTTACTGTCATGCAATATTGTAATAACTGTATAAATAATATCAGCACATTTGTGAACGTATATTAGACCCACCAGCTGGTGTGCATTAGATGTGTGAGGTCATTTGTTTACTCTTGAACATCGGAAAAAATTTAACATTTTCACTGCTTTGAGCTCAGCTTTAAGCCATTTTCAGTGCTAAAACCAATCAAAAACATCTCTATTTCTGTAATATGTCTTCCATTCTATCAAATGAGACCAAGAAATCGCAAATACAACTATAAAAACATACGAAAAAACACTGCAAAGTTGCTGTTTTAATCAAAAATTATGGTCTCAGTTTTTTCTCTCATTATGCACTGTGTGCTACAGGATTTGTTTTATGTAGTGCACACGTACCACACAGATGTATTCTCTCATATCTAGGCCCAAATTTACCACTCACAGCTTATCAGAGTGAGCTGAGCTCATGGCGTAGATCTACGGTTTGGACCCTGAACGTAAAGCTGTAGATCTATGGCACAAACCCTGAAGGGTTAATATTTATTATTTCATTGCATAAATCCTACACATGGAATGAAGAGATGAAACTATTAGAAATAAAATTTATCTTTTGCAAGAATAACAAATTTCATGATTTTTCGACCTTAAAGCTCATTGGGCACTTTGTTTAAACTTGGGTTTTACAGCTGTTATATAAAACCTAAATGGATTTTGGATGACTGGTTTGTTAGGTTGAAATTATTCAATAATCCTATCTTCACTTATACATAACTTACATAACAACCAATGCAAATTTAAAGTATGGATAAGGTTTAAATAAAGCCTATTGGGTAAACACTAAACCAGAATGAGCTACACAGTACCTGGGAAATAGGTTACAGGTTTAATGAGGGCAGATCATTTCTTGGATCAAGAGCCCTTCACCAGCATCAAGGAATGTGCCTAGGTACATACATTCTCTGTGTAGATCTTTGAGAGGATATGGCTAGCTGACTACTTATCTTTCAAGACTATCTAATATACAAATACATTAGGGATGCATATCACCTGTACACCACCAGTCAGGGGATCATTAATCCCTAAAATAGGGTTTAAAGTATGCTGTTTGCATATATACACCTTGAGGTGCACACTCCTCAGTGTACATACCATTACTTTATTTTTCATAACGGGTGTCCTGTGGCTCAGTTGGCAACACTTTGGCCTCGCATATGAGTGTCCGTGGTTTAATCCCTGGCATGGGTGGAAATGCTGGGCAGTTTTTCTTACACCTGCTGTCCCTGTTCACCTAGAAGTAGGTAGGTACCTGGGTACTGGGTGTTAATCGATTGGAGTGGGTAAGTTTATTTAGGTATAGGTACACGTAAGTACAATTATCATACATAGTAACATTTGTGTAAATTACCTACAATAACCCCCAAAAAATTAAAGTGACTTATTTCCACTGGGGTCTTGACGGACAAGATTTAGGACCCCAATAGAAATAAGACAGCCCTCTTGGGTTATCCTGGGTGGCTAACCCTCCGGGTTAAAAGTCAGAACAAATCTTATCTTAACCTGGAAGCATTATTATTATTATTATTATTATTATTATTATTATTATAATCAAGGAGGGAAGCGCTAAACCCGAAGGATTATACAGCGTATGTGGGAGAGTTGGAAGGTATTCAGGGAACTGGAGTACAGATCCCGTTCCCTAGATCAAGAGCCCCTCACCAGCATCAAGGAACCTTCCTTGAGGGGCCTGGAAGCATTAAACCCGTCGGGGGTCACGCAGCACCTGGGGTAACGGGAAGCAATCAGGCTCACTCCAAGGAAGACGACGATAAAGTCCGGTTCCTTGGATCAAGAGCCCCTCGCGGGCATTGAGGCACCTGCTCTAAGGGGCATATACCAGCACATTGTCGATACCATCAAATTTTTGAGTGAAAAAAACTCACCATGACGAGTAACTGAGATCCGTCAACAACACCGGTGATGTTTTGATGCCGCGTAACGTCGACTTCTGTTCTCACTTTACTAAATTCCGCCTTGAAATATAATTTTTCCCTTCCTTAACTATATAAATTAATATATATAAGACGGTTTGTATCAATCTAAAGTGTACGTTGAGGAGCTATGACTACAATCCTAGTATTTCTGTTATGTGATAAAGTCGAATATTCATCACATATTAGTAGGTATCTTTATTTCACATTCTGAGAGATAATGAAAGAATGAGAATAAAAGAGAATGAGGATGAATGAGAATGGTGGATAGAATGAGGATGGAAGAATGAGAATGAAAGAGAATCAGGATGAAAGAATGAGAATGAAGGAGAGAATGAGAATGAAAGGGAATGAGAATGAAAGAGAATTAGAATGAAAGAATGAGAATGAGTGAAATAGGACGAGAAAATTTGGATTATCCTAGGTAATTTACATTATGTATGGCAACTGTACTTGTGTGTACCCGTGCCTAAATAAATTTACATAAAATGAAATAAAATGAGAAAGAAAGAGAATGGGAATGAAAGTGAAAATGAGATTGAAAGAGAATGGGGATGAGAGAACGAGGACGAAAGTAAGAATGAGGAAGAAAGATGACAATGAAAAGGAATAAAGATGAAAGAGAGAATGAGAATGAAAGATAATGAGGATGAAAGAATGAGAATGAAAAAGAATAAGAATGGGAAAATGAGGATGAAAGAATGAAGATACCTGGCGTCTACCTGGAGGGTGTTCTAGGGGTCAACGCCCCCGCGGCCAGGTCTATAACCAGGCCTACTGGTGGATCAGGGCCTGATCAACCAAGCTGTTACTGCTGGCCCCGCACAGGCCAAAGCACGAACCACAACCCAGTTGGTCAGGAACTGACCTGACTTTAAGAACTTATCTAGTTCCTCCTGAAGACAGACAGGAGTCTATTGGTAATCCCCTTTATGTATGATGGGAGGCCTTTGAACAGTCTTAGGCCCCTGACACTTAATGTGTTCTCTGCGTATTCATGGCACCTCTGCTTTTCATAATAATAATAATAACAATAATAATAATAATAATAATAATAATAATAATAATAATAATAATAATAATAATAATAATAATGTTTATTTCTTTATGTCGTAAAAATAAAGCAGTTTAAATGAATTAATACAATAGTAAGCACAAAAGAAAGACATTAATTTTGCAATGAATTTCGGGCAACTGTTCATAAGGCTTATATGTTAGCTAAGAATTAGACACAGACTATTTAGTAGGATTTCTTATGTAGTTAACTACAGTCATTGGTACAATAAGAAAGATAGCTAACAGATGGTCAGTTACTAAAGAATTGCAGACGTTTAAGCTGGTTCAGTGACCTTAGTTTTGTGGAGTGACTGAATAAAGATGAAGATACAGCAAGTTACTTAAATTACAATACAAGTAAAATAGGACAAGATACGTTACCATTTATGTATGGGAATTGAAGGAAGGCTGAAAGAACGGAGAGAATTGGATGGAGGCTGATATAGTGTATTGCTATTTAGATTACTTTAAGGAGATGAGGTGCTTTTTAACAATAGCTCTGAATCGATTGGCTGATATAGGGAACTTTTCAATGCTTCAGGCAGGGTGTTTCCATATTTTAGTTTTATTGTATTGTATTTTATGCACAATGAGTTTTTGCACAGGCTGAGTCGGGCCAAGGCAAAGACGAGGAGCACACTTGGAACAAATGAGAGATCTGAAGACAATGAAGGAGCTATGATATATGCAAAGACTAACAGACACCTGCAGGGGCCAGGAACAGCTGAGCAGGAAAGACAGTCCACTGAGCATAGGGGCCTCAGCCAAGGAAGGGACTGAAGGAAGGAACGCACCAATGGAAGAAACTAAAACACCTCAGAGAACGCAATGGGAGACACAATGGGAGGACGAAAGGGCGAGATCAGTTTTTGTCTACAGGCTCCAGGAAGTCAAAGGGGAAACCTACAATGAAAGACAACAGGAGGAGAAAAAAGTGATCGAAGGTATCATGAAAGCAATAGGTGAAGGTGACATGATTCAGGTGACAAATTTTCGAAGAATTCCGTGGCTTGCAAGGGGACGGAAACGGCCTCTCAAAGTAATTTTCAAGACAGAATCAACTCGAACCATGATCCTGCAGGAGAAAACACGACTGAGAGACAAACCGGAGTACCAGAGTGTGTACCTCGATCGAGAGAGAACACAAAAGGAAAGGACGATATTGAAAGAGAGAGTACAAAAACGAAAGGAGGAACGAGATGAAATGACAAAGATGAGCAGAAGAACCCAGACACAGGTGGAAGGGCAAACACACCCTCCAGAAACACCCACAGAAGGACTCCAACTGTGACAACCCCAAGGCAACTGAACAATCTAAATCGACACACACACTGATCCCTCTGTCCCCACCCCTCACTACAAACCCCACCTCTACAGCAACCCCTTATGGGAACTCTGCCCCCACCCCCACCCCCACCCCCATACCCACACCCACCCCCACCCCCCCCCCCACCCCCACCCCCACCCCCACCCCCACCCCCACTGCAAGCTCCCATAGACCCCTGCCAGGGCTCCCACTCCCCCAACCCCAATCTTCTCCCAGGACCACAGTTTTAGAAAATATGTTGAAGGTTTGGTACATGAATGCCGATGGAGTAACGAATAAATATGAGGAGTGGCATGAAAAAATCAATGAGAAGTTCCCAGACATCATAGCAGTCACAGAAACGAAACTCATTGAGACAATAACAGATGCAATCTTCCCACCAGGATATCAAATCCTGAGGAAAGATAGAAGGAGCAGAGGGGGAGGAGGGGTTGCACTGCTCGTAAAAAACCGATGGAGATTTGAGGAAATGGAAGGCATGGACGAGAGTGGAGAAAGGGATTACATAGTAGGTACACTTCAGTCTCGGGAACATAAGGTAGTCATTGCAGTGATGTATAATCCACCACAGAACTGCAGGAGGCCAAGAGGGGAATATGAAGAGAGCAACAGAGCAATGGTGGATACACTGGCTGAGGTAGCAAGAAGAGCTTACTCGACCAGAGCAAAGTTACTGTTTATGGGCGATTTCAACCACAGGGAGATTGGGAAAACCTGGATCCTCACGGGGGTCCCGAAACATGGAGAGCCAAGATGATGGATGTGGTACTGGAAAGCCTCATGCATCAACATGTTAAGGACACTACCAGAGAGAGAGTGGAGGATGAACCTGCAAGACTAGACCTCGTGTTCACCCTGAGCAGTTCAGACATTGAGGACATCACATATGACAGGCCCCTTGGAGCTAGTGATCACGTGGTTCTGTGCTTTGAATACGTAGTAGAGTTACAATGTAGAGGGTAACAGGAGTTGAATGGGAAAAGCCAAACTATAAAAGGGGGGACTACACAGGTATGAGGAACTTCCTGCAGGAAGTTCAGTGGGACAGAATTGGTAGGAAAGTCAGTAAACAAAATGATGGAATACCTAAGAACAAAATGCAAGGAGGCAGTGGAAAGGTTTATTCCCAAGGGCAACAGAAATAATGGGAAAACCAGAACGAGCGCCTGGTTTACCCGAAGGTGTAGGGAGGCAAAAACTAAGTGCACTAGAAAATGGAAAAAGTACAGAAGGCAAAGAGCCCAGGAAAAAAGGAGATTAGTCGAAGAGCCAGAAACGAGTATGCACAGATTAGGAGGGAGGCCCAGCGACAGTACGAAAACAACATAGCATCGAAAGTCAAGTCTGACCCGAAACTGCTGTATAGCCACATTAGGAGGAAGACAACAGTCAGAGACCAGGTGATCAGGCTGAGGAAAGAAAGTGGGGAACTCACAAGAAACGATCAAGTGGTATGTGAGGAGCTCAACATGAGACTCAAGAAAGTATTTTCAGTATAGATAGGAAGGGCTCTGGGAAGACAGCACAGATGGGAACACCAACAGGGAATATACCAACAAGTGTTGGATGACATACACACAACTGAGGAGGTGCAGAAGCTGCTAAGTGACCTTAATACCTCAAAGGCAATGGGACAGAACATCTCCCTGTGGGTCCTTAGAGAAGAAACAGAGATGCTGTGTGTGCCACAAAACACAATCTTCAACACATCCCTTGAAACCGTTGAACTACCTGAGGTATGGAAGATGGCAAATGTAATCCCCATTTTTAAGAAAGGAGACAGAAACGAGGCACTAAACTACAGACCAGTGTCACTGACGTGTATAGTATGCAAAGTCATGGAGAAGATTATCAGGAGGAGAGTGGTGGAACACCTGGAACAGAACAAGATTATAAACAACAACCAGCATGGATTCATGAAAGGCAAATCCTGTGTCACAAACCTTCTGGAGTTTTATGAGAAAGTAACAGAAGTAAGATACGAGAGAGAGGGGTGGGTTGATTACATTTTCCTGGGCTGCAGGAAGGCCTTTGACACAATTCCTCACAAGAGATTAGTGCATAAGCTGGAGGATCAAGTGCGTATAACACGAAGGGAAGTGCAATGGGTCACAGAATACCTGACAGGGAGGCAATAATGAGTTATGGTATGTGATGAGGTATCACAGTGGGCACCTGTGAAGAGCGGGGTCCCACAAGAGTCAGTCCTAGGACCAGTGCTATTTTTAGTATATGTGAATGACATGATGGAAGGAACAAACTCAGATGTATCCCTGTTCGCAGATGATGTGAAGTTAATGGCCCGGTGGCTTGGTGGCTAAAGCTCCCGCTTCACACATGGAGGGCCCAGGTTCGATTCCCGGCGGGTGGAAATATTTCGACACGTTTCCTTACACCTATTGTCCTGTTCACCTAGCAGCAAATAGGTACCTGGGTGTTAGTCGACTGGTGTGGGTTGCATCCTGGGGGACAAGTTTAAGGACCCCAATGGAAATAAGTTAGACAGTCCTCGATGACGCACTGACTTTCTTGGGTTATCCTGGGTGGCTAACCCTCCGGGGTTAAAAATCCGAATGAAATCTTATCTTAATGAGGAGAATTAAATCAGATGAGGATCAGGCAGGACTTCAAAGAGACCTGGACAGGCTGGACACGTGGTCAAGCAACTGTCTTCTCGAATTCAACCCTGCCAAATGCAAAGTCATGAAGATTGGGGAAAGGCAAAGAAGACCGCAGAGAGAGTATAGGATAGGTGGACAAAGACTGCAAACCTCACTCAAGGAGAAAGATCTTGAGGTGAGTATAACACCGAGCACGTCTCCGGAAGCACACATCAACCAGATAACTGCTGCAGCATATTGGCGCCTGGCAAACCTGAGATTAGCGTTCCGATACCTTAGTAAGGAATCGTTCAAGACACTGTACACTGTTTACGTCAGGTTATACTAGAGTATGCAGCATCAGTTTGGAATCCACACTTGATCAAGCACGTCACGTCAAGAAATTAAAGAAAGTGCAAAGGTTTGCAACAAGGTTAGTTCCGGAGCTCAGAGGAATGTCCTACGAAGAAAGGTTGAGGGAAATCGGCCTGACGACACTGGAGGACAGGAGGGTCAAGGGAGACATGATAACGACATACAAAATACTGCGGGGAATAGATAAAGTGAACAGAGACAGGATGTTCCAGAGAGGGGGCACAGAAACAAGGGGTCACAATTGGAAGCTGAAGACTCAGACGAGTCACAGGGATGTTAGGAAGTATTTCTTCAGTCATAGAGTTGTTAGGAAGTGGAACAGTCTAGCAAGTGATGTAGTGGAGGTAGGAACCATGCATTGCTTTAAGACGAGGTATGACAAACCTCAGGGAGCAGAGAGAGAGAGAGAGAGAGAGAGAGAGAGAGAGAGAGAGGACCTAGTAGCGATAAGAGAAGAGGCGGGGCTAGGAGCTGAGTCTCGACCCCTGCAACCACAATTAGGTGAGTGCAGTTAGGCTAGGGATGTTTTTGTCTCGTGTTATCCCTGTGTTGTTCTGTTGTAGCTATCAAGGAAAAATTTCAGAGGATTTGTATTAGAATTGATTGTCCCATATACATAATAGGCACAGTATTATGAGTGCATATCGTGTATATTAAGTTCAAGCTTCGGGAAAGTGCTTTAGTGAGTTTATTTAGGTACAGGTACACACAAATACCGTTATACAAATTATCATACAGAATAACATAAAGTATGCAAATTGCTTAGGATAACCCCCCAAAAAAGTCAGTGACTAAAATACCTATCATATGACGCTAAGTGAAAAACATTGCATATTGAATTTACTGGGTTATCCTAGGCTAATTTCTACATAATATACTGTGTAAAACATTGTAAAGTTTCAGATTATGCATGAAGTCTGAATAAAAACTTACTGTCTAACTTATAATTAATTAGGCATGTAAATTTTAGTCTGGGATTTGTACTCATATTATGAATGTACCATTTTATCCACAAGTTCTTAAAGACAAAATTAGGAAAGGTAAAATATTTGAAGCTAAAATTTTCATTAAATAAATCTCATAAATATTGTTTGCCAGCATTTTACTGTAAATCAACGCCACCTCTAAAACATGTAAAAAAATAAAAACAACGAATCCCAAAATTCAGATCTAGGAAAGTAAAAACGTAATAATAACCAAAAAAAAATATATATTAAAATATGGTTGAAATATTACTTTATTAGATAAATATATTATAATAAACGATAACTTTTGCTAGTAAATTACAGTGATAATAATGCATAGAAGGTGGTGAATTAGGGAACAAGAGTGAGTAGGCGTGTGGTTCTGAGAATCATAGGGGTCCTCCAGGTTGTGGGTACAACTTGCTGGCCACGTAGGAACAATTGAGTTGACATCAACAACTCCTGGATGTAGGGCATGAGTCTAAGCAGATATTTATATTAAGCCAAATTCTACCACAGAGGTAATGTTGCGTTCCGGTGTTGCGTGGAATGGGATAACCTACGCTTGATCTAAATGGTGATAGTGTGTAAGAGAGACTGTGAAATGTAAATGAAGTGGCCGGGTTAAAAGACGGAGAGCGGCACTGCCCTTATGTTGGGTCACATTGTATTATTACTAATATGTGCTACTTCAACCTTCTGCTGAGTTATAATATAATTAGTACTCCAGTTTTCAGTTAGGTTTATAAGTGAAGGATGCTCCGTGGTGGAAATCAAATTGGAAATATAAAGGACCCCAATGGAAATAAGTCACTCTGACTTTTTTGGGTTATCCTAGGTTCTCTACACATATGCTGCTATGTATGATAATTCTATGTAACTGTATTTGTGTATACCTGAATAAACTTACTTATTTCACGTCGTGCAAGTTAACGCAGATGGCTCCTCTGAAATCCTGGATCAAAATCGACTAGTTGATTGTTAATTTCATTGCATGTGGTTTGGAATGTTTCCGGTAATCTTAGATATGAAGGATTAATGTTTTTTTTTCTAATTCTAGTATTATCTTTCACATGAAGATAATGGTGAAGGCTTCTTGATCTAAGGAATTGGACCTGCACTTCACTTCCTCGAATTGAACATAAATTCCTCTCATTTTGTCCCAGGCGCTGTACAGGCCTTGTGGATTTAGCGCTCCCTACATGAATGAAACAATAATTTGCAATGAATTAAAGGCATAGTGCAGAACAAACTTTTATTACGACAGTGTAAAGATAAGATTAGTTCAAGTTTTTAACCCGGAGGGTCAGCTACCCAGGATGACCCAAGAAAGTGCATCATGGGGGACTTTGTCTTATTGCCATTGGAATTCTTCAGTCTTGTCCCCCAGGATGACACCCACAACAGTCGACTAATGCCCAGGTACCTGCTTACTGCTGAGTGAACATGGACAGCAGATGTAAGGAAACCTGCCCCACATATCCATCCATGCCAGGGATTGAACAATGGACACTCAGTGTGCGAGGCAAGTGTATTGCCAACCAAGCCACAGTCACAATAATGCTCTGCATTGGTATACTGTATTGTCTTCATTACTATTGGCAGTATGCCCTTATATTCAGTATCTTTGCTGTGTTTAAGCACCAGAATTTTATATTTTATACATCACTGTACCAAAAATGAAAAAAAAATTGGCTTTACTTTTTCTTATTTTGTTAAACAGTGAAGAAAAATGTTTGTCAGAAATAAAAGAAAATGTACAACTGTAGTAATTAGGGGTGTGCCTAAGTTCAGTATCACCAGGGTGTTGGCCAATTCTGATGGTATTGATATCAGCTAGTTTTGGTGGTGTTGGTACCAGTATTGACTAAGTTGTAATGGTATTGGTGTCAACCTAAAATTGAACGTTGATATCAGCAAAAATTTTAGTATCCCATCCCAAGTGGTGGTACTAATGACTGGAACAATATATTACTGTGAAACATCATTTTGTTTGAATGGTCTAATCTCATAAATGTGCTGTATCATACATATATACTGTTCATGTAATTAGAAAATTGGTGCTGCCTTGTTGAAAATGTTAGCTTGTTTTCATTTTAGTTTTAAAAATGCAGTAATAACTGTAGTTACAATTAATGCTTTCCAATCATCCTAAATGGTTGTACTTGCCAGGACCCTTAGAACTTATAGAAGACTGTGCTCTACAATAAAAGATTTTTAGACTAGTGGGATTATATTGGTGTATTGAGTGTATGACTGAAGTTGTCATTGTATAGAAGGCTAAATGGCAATTTGTTCCCAACATACGAAGGTTTTGCCATTTGATGGAACTCTCATGTTATAGGTCTCTGTGATCTACAGCTAATGTTGTCTAAATCCTCACTTCATGCTCCACAACCTCAAAATAATTTAATTGATGTTATGTTATGTACTCTAAATACAGTATTGTGATGTGGTGATGTGACTTGAAGAAAAAGGTGCTAAAAAAAATTAATTGCTTCTGTCCTCGGTTATTTGAATTGTTAATTTACCCTGGTAGGAGATGGCCGATGAATTAAAAAGCGAAGTACATAAGATTTATACAGTATACAGCCTCTCCTCACTTAGTGACATGCTCGTTTACCGACGCCTTGGACTTTCGACGGGCTCTCTGACCAGTATTCATACCTAAATAATGTATAATAGAGCTGATTTTCTCTTTTCTGTTATTACAATATACAGCACACTACTGTATAAACATTTAAAAATATACCAGAAATGTTATAAATTGTGCAGAGGTGACATTAAAACAATATTAAAGATGGTTGAAACAGTCACTACTATTATAGTATGCTCCTCATTTAGCGACAAATTTGTTTAACGACGTGATCTTAGGAATGAAACTCCATCATTAAGTGAGGAGAGGCTGTATTACAGTATACAATATATTAACATCAGTAACCAGTGGGTTACTTTAAATTATTATTATTAATAGACTGAAAAAGTGCCATTTTCTATTCCCAGGAACAAAATGAAAGTTAAAGAAGTAAGTGAAACTGCCAATGTGGCCTGGTCTCCATCAGATGTATACCCGGCATATTTGGCTTGCGGTACGAGTGCACAGCAGTTGGATGCCAGTTTCAATACAAGCTCTACGCTCAGAATCTATGACTTGAATATTGGTCAAACCAATCTAGATATGAAACTTGCAGCATCTGTTGAATTGCCTGCTAGGTAAGTTTTCACAATTTAATTCGTGTTGCTCATTCATTCATTCACAATGAAAACATGAATGAAGAATACATATTGTGTGGTACTGTACCTTTTTTTTATGTAATGTATTTTAAATACAGTACGTACTTAATTTATCTACAAAATATTTTTAACTAGATTTCTTTTACCATATTGGCAGTCTCTCACCAAGGTAAGGTAACCCTAAAAATGGAAATTCAGTATATTCACCCTCATTCATTAAATTGTGTACTGCATGTCTGTTAATGGTTTCATAGGTCATTGGCCTCACGCCTTTGTCTTGGACCAGGCTGCCTAAATTGCAGAGATGTTACAGGAAGAATAACTATTAAGAAACCTGCAAAAACAGTAAAGACAAGTGTAGTACAAATATAGATAGAAGTTTGGAAGATTTACTAGCCATCTTCCATATTTGAGACAGAAAAGAAAAGAAATCCTGCAAGATTGCAAAGCTTGTCTTTTGACATTTGAATCTTAAATTGTTACATGCAGCTAGATTACTTAATTAGAAAGTCTTGTGTATTTGAAAAGCTGTGCCCATTTTAAAAAACACTTCATAGGAATTTTTGACAATTTTACCAAATTTCAGTAATGCATTACTCTTCAGCCATGTATTTAACCCTTAAACTGTCCAAACAGATCCATGTTCACATGCGTAGTGCTCCAAAAGTAGATCTACTTTTTTTTTTAAATATTTTCAAATACAGTGGACCCCCAGTTAACGATATTTTTTCATTCCAGAAGTATGTTCAGGTGCCAGTACTGACCGAATTTGTTCCCATAAGGAATATTGTGAAGTAGATTAGTCTATTTCAGACCCCCAAACATACACGTACAAACGCACTTACATAAATACACTTGCATAATTGGTCGCATTGGGAGGTGATCATTAAGCGGGGGTCCACTGTATAACAAAAAAAATGTAGATCAAAGTTTTTTTTACACGTTTTCAAATGTAAAAAAAAGTCTGTTTTTTTATGTACTTTCAAATGTTGAAAAAATGTAGATCTACATTTGGACAGTTTAAGGGTTAATAACACTACCATTTTTTTTTTTTATACTTTTAAATACGTATTTGTCAGTGGCAGATGACTTGCTGTGAGTAGTTGCCTAATTAGTAAAGCTGCATTTTTTTGCAAGTGTCAAGCTGGAGAAAATTAGGCCACAGCCTTAATTCTTTCAGGGTCGAGAGGCCCTCTCCTAAACTTGTTCTCAGGGTTGAAAATTTTTCAAAAAAAAATAAAAATTATTTTTCTTATGAAATGATAGAGAATCTTTTCCTGATTGTAATGACACCAAAAGTATGAAATTTGATGGAAAACTTATGGAATTATGCTCTTGCAAAGTTAGTGGTCTTGATGATGTCTTACGCATCGGCGATTTCACCTATTTTCGGCCAATTCGAATGTACCAGTTGACAAAAATCATAACTATTTCACTAGAACTCCATTTTTTTTTATCGAATGAGTACAAGAAACCACCCATTTACCAATTTCAACTATGCAATAAAGTGGTCAGAAATTGGCAATTTTGTCAATTTTACACAAATTTCAAAAGATGCCAATTTCCAAATAGGGTCAAGAATAAACAAGACAGGCATTCCTGGCACTAAAATAACATGTTCTCTGCTCATTAGTCTTGTCCCCAGGCCCTCTTACATTTCTTTTGCTTTCCACTTTGAATTTTTATTCTCACAAAAAATAGAAGTTATACGTACAGTGGAACCATCAAATATTGAACTTTCTTTGGTCCAGAAGGCTGTTTGAGTGCCTTTACCGAATGAATTTATTCCCATGAGGAATAATGTAAATTAGGTTAGTCCATTTCAGACCCTCAAAAATACACTTATTAAAGCACTTACAAAAATACACTTACATAATTGGTTGTGTTGGGAGCAGTTTGATTTTTGAGGTTCCACTGTACTGTTATGCAGACTACTGCATTAGTGTAAAAATGGTATAAATAATATCAGCACACTTGTGAAAGAATATTAGACTCGCCAGTTGGTGTGTATTGGACGTTGGCATGATTTGTTTACTTTTGAACATTGGGAAAAATCGAACATTTCTGCTAATTTGAGCTCAATTTCAAGGTACTTTTCATTGTGAAGCCAATCAAAATCATCTCAGTTTCTGTAATATGTCTTACATTCTATAAAATGAGACCAATAAAAGGAGAATACAACCATAAATATCGTACGAAAATACACTGAAAAGTCGCTGTTTTAAACCAAAAACATGGATTTTTTTTTTCTCATTATGCACTGTATGCTGCAGGATTTTTTTTTACACTGCATACTGACCACAGACCCATTCTTTCATATGTAGGCCTACCAGCTTACTCTCGCTAGATTTGAAGGCGCTAGAATTTAGGCATACTAGTACGGCACCAACCCTGGCGTGCAAGCCGTACTAGTATGACACCGACCCTGAAAGGGTTAAAATATGTTGAGGTTAAGAATAGTTGTAGATGGCCAGAATAAGATTCAAAAGTAGTGTTAGTCACTGCAGCGCTGTATGACCCTGGTGAGTTTAGCACTTTTTGATTATAATAATGATGTTACAATCACTGACTATCAATACAGTATATAATAAATTAATAAAAGCAGACTTCACATTAACCCTTTCAGGGTTTCCAACGTACTAGTATGGCTTAGGCGCCAGTGTTTTTGACGTACTAGAATGCATAAATTCTAGCGCCCTCAAATCTAGCAAGAGAAAGCTGGTAGGCCTACATATGAAAGAATGGGTCTATGTGGTCAGTGTGCGCAGTATAAAAAAAATCCTGCAGCACACAGTGCGTAATGAGAAAAAAAAAACTTTGACAGTGTTTTTGGTTTAAAACAGCGAATTTGCACTATATTTTCATATGGTATTTATGGTTGTATTCTAGTTTTCCTGGTCTTATTTTGATAAATTAGACACATGTGCAACTCTTGGGTATCTTTATTGAGGAAACGTTTCGCCACACAGTGGCTTCATCAGTCCACACAAAGGAGAATCTTGAAGAACAGGAGGAGAATGAGGTAATCAGTCCTCAACCTTGAGGGAAGAAGACATATTACAGAAATTGAGATGATTTTGATTGGTTTCACAATGAAAGTACCTTGAAATTGAGCTCAAAGTAGCAGAAATGTTCGATTTTTGCCAAAGTTCAAAAGTAAACAAATCATGCCACGCATCCAATACACGTCAACTGGTGAATCTAATATTCTTTTACAAGTGCACTGATATTATTTATACCATTTCTACATTAATACAGTAATCTGCATAACAGTAAATCTTCTACTTTTTGTGAGAATAAAAATTCAAAGTGGAAAGCAAAAGAAATGTAGGAGGTACCTGGGGATGTGACTAATGAACAGAGGAAATGTTATTTTAGTGCCAGGAATGTCTTTCTTGTTTATTCTGGACACTATTTGGAAATTGGCATCTTTTGAAATTTGTGTGAAATTGGCAAAATTTCTAAATTCTGACCTCTTTATTGGATAGTTGAAATCGGTAAATGGGTGGTTTCTTGTACTCATTCGATAGAAAAAATGGAGTTCTAGTGAAAGTTATGATTTTTAGTACACTGGAATTGGCCGAAAATAGGGCTCAAAGTGGGCAAAATCGCCAATGCATAAACGTTGTTGAGACCGCTAACTTCGCAAGAGCATAATTCTGTAAGTTTTCCATCAAATTTCACATTTTTGGTGTCATTATGATCGGGAAAAGATTCTCTATCTTTTCATAAGAAAAAAATAATTTTTTTTTTTTTTGAAAATTTGGCAACCCTGAGAACAAGTCTGGGAGAGAGCCTGTCAACCCTGAAAGGGTTAAGGTCATAATTTTTTTTAATGCTGGCCATCTCCCACCGAGGCACTGTCTTGACAGAGGCAGGCTGGTACTGCAGTTCAAATAGCACCCTAAGCTGCATATATCTCCAACCGTCCTTCAGTGTACAGACACTGTACTTTTCCCCTCCAGGACTTGAGTCCGAGTAACTGGTTTCCTTGAATCCCTTCACAGAGGTTATTTTGCTCATACTCCAAAAGCTCAAGTCATAAAAAACCACTTGCCTCCACTCTTACCTAATGCACTCACACACGCCTGCTGGGTGATCAAGCCCCTCGCGTGCAAAACCTCCTTTACCCCCCTCTAACCTTTTCTAGGGTGACCCCTACTCTGCCTTCCCACCACTACAGATTTATACACCCTTCAAGTCATCCTGTTTTGCTTCATCCTCTCCAAATGTCCAAACCTCCTGAACAACCCCTCCTCAGCTCTGGATAATACTTTAGTAATACCACATCTTTTCTTCTCCAAATTATGAATTCTGTGTATAATATTTACACCACATGTTACCCTTAGCAACATTTCTGCCTCCAGCCTCCTTGCTGCAACATTCACTACTCGTGCTTCACACCCATACAAGAGCGTTGGTACCACTATACTCTCATACTTTCCCATTTTTGCCTGCATGGATAACATTCTTTGTTACCACAAATGCCTTAATGCGCCACCCATTTTTTTCCCTCCTCGTCATTTCTGTGGTTTACCTTGTCTTTCATAGACCCCTCTGCCAATAAGTTTACTCCCAAATATCAGAACATATTCGCCTTGTCCATACTCCTTCCAATCTGGCATGAAATCACTGCCTTCTTTATCAGCATTTAACAAGTCCTCAAAATATTTCTGCCATCTTCCCAGTATGTACTTCCATTTTCCCATCTAATAACTCCCCTCTTCTGTTTTTGACTCAAATCTATTTGCTCTCTAAGCTTTCTCAGCCTATTAACCTCACTCTATAGTTTTCTTATTCTCACCAAAATTTTTTGTCACCCTCACCCCCTCTCTCGTTAACTGCTCTTCATCACCACTTTCTTAACCTCTTTTACTTTCCATATACTCCACTGTCTTTATTTCAATTCTGCATTGGAAAAATCTTTCATATGGTAGCTTTTTCTCTCCTACCACTCTTTACCTCACTCCACCAGTTCCTCGTCTTTGATCCCACATCCACTTAACTATATCCACAAACTTCTGCTGCATACAATAACACTGCATTCTTAAATCTACCTCATACCTCTTCAACCTCCTCATTACCTATATGCTCACTAGCCCATCTTTCTCCGAAAGGTTACTATATCTTACCCTAACTACCTCCTTTAGTTTATAAACTTTCACTCTTAATTGCTGACGCCATTCTCCTTATACCCCATCTACCTCCCATTCTCACTGTAGCAATGAGCAAATAGTGATCTGATATTTCTGTTGCCCCAGCTATTACAAATGCATAATTAACAGCATGTACAGTACTGTATAGTATGCACAATTAGTTATATACATTTATATTTACAGGACTATTCACAAATTTAATTTTTTTACAGATTCCATGCTTTGAAATGGAGTGGCCTGGGAGGTGAGCGGACTGGCCTCATATATGGAGGGTGTGAAAATAAGGCCATGTATGTCTATGATGCATCAAAATTGATGAACAAAGCACCTGATTACCAGGTGTGCACAACAGAGGGTTTGCACTCTGGCCCAGTCTTGACTCTGAGCTGCAACTATATGAAGGTAAGCTGATGCCTCAATGATTACATTTGATTGAAAGTTTCTATAAAATGAAAAGGATTTATTAAAATATTTTTATCAGGTCCATAATTAAAAAAAATGTACTGTAAATCTATGACATATATGGCTCTTTATCTAATACAGTTTCATTGACCTTCAATTACTATTAATTACAGCACATTTGCTCACTGTAGGTATTTTTATACTGTAAATGTTATTTTATGAACTAGGCATTATTAATAAGGAAACTGAGACAATATTTTCCTTATTAGATCTGTGGAGAGGGTTTTGGGGGTCCGTGCTCCCACGGCCCTGTCTGTGATCAGACCTCACAGTGGATCAGGGCCTCATCAGCCAGGCTGTGATGGCCTGGTTGATCAGGCTGTTATCTACCACGAGGCCTGGTCATCAGATTGGGCCACAGGGTCATTGACCCCTGAAACCCTCTCCAGGTATACTGGAATTTGTGTAAATTATTTTTCCCTGAGATAACTTGTAGACTTAACTTTATAAAATATTTTTCCTAGTGTATCCTGGAGCCTCTGCCTTTATCTTTTCCAACCACTAATAACTTTGTGCATTCTATTTTTTTTTTTATATAACATACTGGCCATCGTCCACAAAGAAACTTTCACCATCACTGTCTTACCAGAGGTACACCGAGACTACAATTCATATGCCCCACCAAACTGCAATGTGTTATGCCACTGTTAAATGCTTATCATGTATGCTTACATCCTCCAATTTGTGAATGGAGAAACAGTACAAGAGTACAGGGTGCAGTGGAAATCAGTTTTTCTGTGAGATATTTAACTCTCTTATGTTTATTTTTATAAATTGGCTATACTAATTTTATTTACTGTACAGTATTTGTTGGTGTACATTCTGTTCTCTCATTTTTCCCATTTGTGATTTGAAAGGCGTGATTGTATGCTTGTGATTACCTATTGTAGTTCCATGAGCAGAGCTATGCTCAAGGTATGCCATCATTAGTGTTCGTTCATCTTCAAGACAAATTCACAGTAATGTGGCTGGAATAATTCACAACATTTTAGTCTCTTGGATCATTGTCAAGTTGTAAGAGGAGAGAGAGAGAGGAAAGAAAGCCAGAAATCAGATCAGTTGTAGAAGTTAGGAGAATTGCAAAAATAAGATCAGATCATGAGTTTTCTTACAGTGTACCAGGAAAGATAAACATCAGTCAGAACAAACCTGGTATTATGATTCATGTTAGGAATGTTGTGTGAGAGTTGATCAGTTCTGCAGTTGTACCTGTGAAGACTAGAAAGATAAATAGTTTTTCTGTCTTCATATGTTATTACTTCTTTGAAACACACTGCTGTTTTCTGAAAATCTAATGGGAAATAATTTATTTCCAGGCAAATTTTGTAGCTTGCGGTTCCTCTGATTCTGAAGTAACAGTTTGGGATATCACTAATCTCAGTGCCCCCATCATACCTGGAAAAAAACTCTCCCCTTGGTGCAAATGTATCTTGTGTTGAATTTAACAGGTATGCCTTAGTTTGAACATCTGTATGATCAGTGTCTCATAAAATGGGCTGGACTCAAATCCATGGCAGGTAAGTACTTTAAACTAGCAGACTAGTGTCCTGACCACTAAAATGTATGCTTTAATAAGATTAATTGAACTAGGTCTAGTGGTCACAGCATTGATCTGATAGTTTTAGGACTGGCTTATCATGGGTTAGTCCTGCCTATTTCCAGAGTTGTTTATTATAGTGTTATTAAATTTAGTGAATTATTGGTAATCTTTTGCTTAATGTACTTACTGCTATTTTTTCTCTGAACTTTGAAATTCAGAGCTTCAACTAGGTGAGAGTTTTCTTTTTATGTATGTATTACGTAAAATAAGTTCTGTAAGATTTTACTGAATGAAGAGAACAGATAAAGAACATAATTTTGAAATGTGGGCAAATGAAGCTGTTACTAAAATGTTCTTTCGGCATGTTCAAATGGCTTATTCTCTTATAATTTCTCCTTTTGTTCAGTTATCTTGTAGCTTCCTTATTCTCTTGTTGCTTGTATGGTCACCAGGGAATCCTCATCTTATGTTGGGCTGTCAGACAAAATAAATTCTCAAAACTAGTCACAAGCATAAGGGTAGTGCAAAGTCATTGACATTATATTATAATCATCTTTAATCGCACTTAACTTCTAACTTATTTTTTCATTGTATACACATTTTCCAGTCCGTTACTCTCAGAGAAATGACTTCAAATTCAGACTAAATCAATCTTTTGAGTATTTTTTGTGCTTGAATTATGATAAATCTTATTTGTATGTGCTTCAGGTAGAACAATTTGATGACTTTCAGAGGCTTCTGTTGGTTTAGGCATTTGAATTATGGAAAATGAATGTTGCATAAACCTAATAATTTATCAGTTATTTAATAATTTTGAACATGTGCCTATTTTGATTTTCTTACTAGACAAGTGGAGCATATCTTTGCATCTACCTGTGCTGGACACTGTGTTGTGTGGGACCTTAGAAAACAAACCTCTATCATGACTATCTCTGACACGGTTTCAAGGGTAAGTTTCATTTTAAAAGTAAGGTGGTTTTAAAGGAAACACAATTTTTTAAATTTAAAAATAAAAGCAAAAAAGATGGTAATTTGATATTTTATTAATTTCCTTAATTTGGCTATGAGGCAGAATATGGTTAAGAGTAATTTTAGATACTATAGTTGTAAACAATTAGTTTAAAACTAATGAATTTCAGAAATAAAAAGAACAAATCCGCTGGGTACTTGATTTCCAATATTTCTGTTATTCTCTATGGGGAAGTGGAACAGAATTCTTCCTCCATATGCCATGCATGTTGTGAGAGGTGACTAAAATGCCAGAAGCAAGGGGCTAGTAACCCCTTCTGTATTTTTTTTTTTTTTTCAACAAGTCGGCCGTCTCCCACCGAGGCAGGGTGACCCAAAAAAGAAAGAAAATCCCCAAAAAGAAAATACTTTCATCATCATTCAACACTTTCACCACACTCGCACATTATCACTGTTTTTGCAGAGGTGCTCAGAATACAACAGTTTAGAAGCATACACATATAAGATACACAACATATCCTCCAAACTGCCAATATCCCAAACCTCTCCTTTAAAGTGCAGGCATTGTACTTCCCATTTCCAGGACTCAAGTCGACTATATGAAATAACGGTTTCCCTGAATCTCTTCACTAAATATTACCTGCTCACACTCGACAGATCGTCAGGTCCCAAGTACCATTCGTCTCCATTCATCCTATCTAACACGCTCATGCACGCTTGCTGGAAGTCCAAGCCCCTTGCCCACAAAACCTCCTTTACCCCTCTCTCCAACCCTTTCGAGGAAAACCCCTACCCCGCCTTCCTTCCCCTATAGATCTACTTTGATCCATTCTCTCTAAATGACCAAACCACCTCAACAACCCCTCTTCTGCCTCTGACTAATACTTTTATTAACTCCACACCTTTTCCTAATTTCCACACTTCGAATTTTCTGCATAATATTTACACCACACATTGCCTTTAAACAGGACATCTCCACTGCCTCCAACCGTCTCCTCGCTGCTGCATTTACCACCCAAGCTTCACACCCATGTAAGAGTGTTGGTACTACTATACTTTCATACATTCCCTTCTTTGCCTCCATAGATAACGTTTTTTGACTCCACATATACCTCAACGCACCACTCAACGTTTTTCCCTCATCAATTCTATGATTAACCTCATCCTTCATAAATCCATCCGCCGACACGTCAACTCCCAAGTATCTGAAAACATTCAATTCTTCCATACTACTCCTCCCCAATTTGATATCCAATTTTTCTTTTATCTAAATCATTTGATACCCTCATCACCTTACTCTTTTCTATGTTCACTTTCAGCTTTCTACCTTTACACACATTCCCAAACTCATCCACTAACCTTTGCAATTTTTCTTTAGAATCTCCCATAAGCACAGTATCATCAGCAAAAAGTAACTGTGTCAATTCCCATTTTGAATTTGATTCCCCCAAATTTAATCCCACCCCTCTCCCGAACACCCTAGCATTTACTTCCTTTAAAACCCCATCTATAAATATATTAAACAACCATGGTGATATTACACATCCCTGTCTAAGACCTACTTTTATCGGGAAGTATTCTCCCTCTCTTCTACACACCCTAACCTGAGCCTCACTATCCTCATAAAAGCTCTTTACAGCATTTAGTAACTTACCACCTATTCCATAAACTTGCAACATCTGCCACATTGCTCCTCTATCCACTCTATCATATGCCTTTTCTAAATCCATAAATGCAATAAAAACTTCCCTACCTTTATCTAAATACTGTTCACATATATGCTTCAATGTAAACACTTGATCTACACATCCCCTACCCACTCTGAAGCCTCCTTGCTCATCCGCAATTCTACATTCTGTCTTACCTCTAATTCTTTCAATTATAACCCTACCGTATACTTTTCCTGGTATACTCAGTAAACTTATTCCTCTATAATTTTTACAATCTCTTTTGTCCCCTTTCCCTTTATATAAAGGGACTATACATGCTCTCTGCCAATCCCTAGGTACCTTCCCCTCTTTCATACATTTATTAAACAAAAGTACCAACCACTCCAACACTATATCCCCCCCTGCTTTTAACATTTCTGTCATGATCCCATCAGTTCCAGCTGCTTTACCCCCTTTCATTCTACGTAATGCCTCACGTACTTCCACCACACTTACATTCTGCTCTTCTTCACTCCTAAAAGATGGTATACCTCCCTGGCCAGTGCATGAAATTACCGCCTCCCTTTCTTCCTCAACATTTAAAAGTTCCTCAAATATTCTCGCCATCTACCTAATACCTCCCTCTCCCCATCTACTAACTCCCCTACTCTGTTTTTAATGGACAAATCCATACTTTCCCTAGGCTTTCTTAACTTGTTTAACTCACTCCAAAAATTTTTTCTTATTTCATTAAAATTTCTTGACAGTGCCTCCCCCACTCTTTCATCTGCTCTCCTTTTGCACTCTCTCACCACTCTCTTCACCTTTTTTTTACTCTCCATATACTCTGCTCTTCTTATAACACTTCTGCTTTGTAAAAACCTCTCGTAAGCTACCTTTTTCTCTTTTATCACACCCTTTACTTCATCATTCCACCAATCACTCCTCTTTCCTCCTGCCCCCACCCTCCTATAACCACAAACTTCTGCCCACATTCTAATACTGCATTTTTAAAACTATTCCAACCCTCTTCAACCCCCCCCCACTACTCATCTTTGCACTAGCCCACCTTTCTGCCAATAGTCACTTATATCTCGCCCGAACTTCCTCCTCCCTTAGTTTATACACTTTCACCTCCCTCTTACTTGTTGTTGCCACCTTCCTCTTTTCCCATCTACCTCTTACTCTAACTGTAGCTACAACTAAATAATGATCTGATATATCAGTTGCCCCTCTATAAACATGTACATCCTGGAGCCTACCCATCAACGTTTTATCCACCAATACATAATCTAACAAAGTACTTTCATTACGTGCTACATCATACTTTGTATATTTATTTATCCTCTTTTCATAAAATATGTATTACTTATTACCAAATTTCTTTCTACACATAACTCAATTAAAGGCTCCCCATTTACATTTACCCCCAGCACCCCAAATTTACCTACTACTCCCTCCATAACATTTTTACCCACTTAGCATTGAAATCCCCAACCACCATTACTCTCACACTTGATTCAAAACACCCCACGCATTCACTCAACATTTCCCAGAATCTCTCTCTCTCCTCTACACTTCTCTCTTCTCCAGGTGCATACACGCTTACTATAACCCACTTTTCACATCCAATCTTTATTTTACTCCACATAATCCTTGAATTTATGCATTTGTAGTCCCTCTTTTCCTGCCATAGCTTATCCTTCAACATTATTGCTACTCTTTCTTTAGCTCTAACTCTATTTGAAACCCCTGACCTAATCCCATTTATTCCTCTCCATTGAAACTCTCCCACCCCCTTCAGCTTTGTTTCACTTAAAGCCAGGACATCCAGTTTCTTCTCATTCATAACATCCACAATCATCTCTTTCTTATCATTTGCACAACATCCACGCACATTCAGACTTCCCACTTTGACAATTTTCTTCTTCTGAGCCTCACTATCCTCATAAAAACTCCTTACAGCATTTAATAACTTACCACCTATTCCATATACTTGCAACATCTGCCACATTGCTCCTCTATCCACTCTATCATATGCCTTTTCTAAATCCATAAATGCAATAAAAACTTCCCTACCTTTATCTAAATACTGTTCACATATATGCTTCAATGTAAACACTTGATCTACACATCCCCTACCCACTCTGAAACCTCCTTGCTCATCCGCAATCCTACATTCTGTCTTACCTCTAATTCTTTGTTATAACCCTACTGTACACTTTTCCTGGTATACTCAGTAAACTTATTCCTCTATAATTTTTACAGTCTTTTGTCCCCTTTCCCTTTATATAAAGGGACTGTACATGCTCTCTGCCAATCCCTAGGTACCTTCCCCTCTTTCATACATTTATTAAACAAAAGTACCAACCACTCCAACACTATATCCCCCCCTGCTTTTAACATTTCTGTCATGATCCCATCAGTTCCAGCTGCTTTACCCCCTTTCATTCTACGTAATGCCTCACGTACCTCCCCCACACTTACATTCTGCTCTTCTTCACTCCTAAAAGATGGTATACCTCCCTGACCAGTGCATGAAATTACTGCCTCCCTTTCTTCCTTAACATTTAAAAGTTCCTCAAAATATTCTCGCCATCTACCTAATACCTCCATCTCCCCATCTACTAACTCCCCTACTGTTTTTAACTGACAAATCGATACTTTCCCTAGGCTTTCTTAACTTGTTTAACTCACTCCAAAATTTTTTCTTATTTTCATTAAAATTTCTTGATAGTGCCTCTCCCACTCTATCATCTGCTCTCCTTTTGCACTCTCTCACCACTCTCTTCACCTTTCTTTTACTCTCCATATACTCTGCTCTTCTTATAACACTTCTGCTTTGTAAAAACCTCTCATAAGCTACCTTTTTCTCTTTTATCACACCTTTAGTTCATCATTCCACCAATCGCTCCTCTTTCCTCCTGCCCCCACCCTCCTATAACCACAAACTTCTGCCCCACATTCTAATACTGTATATATTACTAAATTTCAAAAGAGAAACTTTAGTTTTTCTTTTTGGGTCCACCCTGCTTCAGTGACATACGAATGATTTGTTGAAAGAGTTCTGTTATTGTTGCAATGAAGGCAAGGCACTTAACTGTATACATATCACAAAAGGCAAACAAAATTACTCTTCTGTACTTTTAACTAATTTAAATATTTTTGTACGTCATGCCTGTAAATCGTGTACATATAGTATAAACAGTCAGCATTACTGGACACTTTCCTCCCTATTAATCTGTTTAATAATTTTAAAAGTACTGTATCTGCAGGTAAAGAATATATCAAGTTTGTTTTGCAATTGATCAGTAAAAGTAAAATAGAGTAGTATTGCTGTAGTTGTCTTATGCCAAATATTGAAAGAACACAATGTAAAATAAGGGGAAATAGAGTAATATTACTTTGCTTTTATAGATGAAAGCAAGCAGTATCATCTGGAACCCCAGTGTGGCAACACAGTTACTACTAGCCAGTGATGATGACACTACACCATGGGCTCAAGTTTGGGATCTTCGTTATGCTACTTCTTCTCTCAAGACACTGGAGGGGCACCAGCGTGGCATTGTGAAAACTGCTTGGTGTGTTCATGACGGAAATTTGTTGATAACTGCAGCAAAGGATAACAAGTAAGTGATAACTGCATTTTGGAAAAGAAAAAAAAGGCATAGTGAGTGACAATTTTATTTTGCAAGAGGAAAACGGAGCACTATGTGGCATTCATACCAAGGAAAAGAGATGCATTTCTCTCAGGCTGTCGAGCACTGTTCCTGAAGTACAGAATGGCCACACTTATACAGCAGGTTAGGTTCCGGGCTACTGCTATAAAGTGATAATTGCTTATTACACTTTCAAATGCATATAAAAGCTTGATAACATGTTTACACTATCATATATTGAGTGATAGAACTAGGCCTAAAAAAATGCACATATAGTGCTCACATTACTTAAAATATTTTTCTTAGTGGTGAATATATTTATTGTAGGAAGTCTGAAGAATGGGTGTAATTGAAACTTCTACATTAACTAAACGCTGTAAAGTGAAGCGCTGTAAAGCGGGGGGCCTGCCTGTATACCTGGGGGTCAACGACCCTGTGGCCCAGTCCATTGCCAGGCCTCAAGAAAGTCAGTGCATCATTGAGGACTGTCTGATTTCCAATGGGGTCCTTCAATCTTGTCTCCCAGGATGTGACCCCTCACCATTTGACCAACACCCAGGTACCTGTTTACTGTTAGGTGAACAGGGACTGAACTGTGGACACTCATTGTGTGAAGCAAGAGGGTTGCTATGAATTTGAGACAGTTTCAGTTGTAAATTAAAAAGTTATTTCTACAATTAAATATTGATTAGATATTTTATCATTGTAATGAGAGATATCATATATTCATTAGAATATACCCATCGTTGTCAGCTTTCCTTGTTACTTGTTTGACTTGTATTAAGTTGATATAGTAAAAGTTGAAAATAATGATCCCTAGCAGCAGTTTTGTGGTGAACATGAAAGGATAACATTGCAGTTTTTTGTGAAATTAACCTTTGTTTTACAGTAAAGGATTTTCTGGGGGAGGAGAGGAGTAGTGCATGTGTTTGTCAGAATAGATATATTAGTTTAGAGTATAAATATTTTGTTTGAATTGAACAAGTTATCTGTACTAATCAGTTTTTAATCACCTCTTCAGTTTTATGAGCAAGTCTTGCAGTTTAAATTTGCAGTATTGTATGGTTTCTTAATCTTAAATTTCAGAATTTGTGTGTGGAATCCAAATGCAACAGAACGTGGCTTAGAAATTGTTGGGGAGTTTCCTTCCTATAACCAGTGGTGTTTTGACATGGACTGGGGTCAGCGGGATCCTTCCTTGGTTGCTGTGTCATCTGTTGATGGCTGTGTTAGCATATACTCCTTGTTAGGTAGTGGTCAGCCTCCCACTCAGTCAGATAAAGTAAGTACTGTACTATTTTCTATTTGCTTATTTTTATTATACGGGTCGGCCATCACTAATCCAGCAGTCAGTTATCCGGTTCCACCAGTAATCCGGCACTAATTTCAGCTAGCATAATTTAAAATTTCATCATTTTACTGACTCAAATTTCTTCGTTATAATGACTCAGAAATTGTGCAGATGATTGTAATTCCACAGCAGCAAGCCAGTGGAGGAGAAAGCAGTGATGAAAGTCTCTCTATTGATAGGTTAATTGAGTGTATTCTAACCATTCTGTAATCCGGCAAACTCACTAATCTGGCACACTACAGGTCCCAACATTGCCGGATTAGTGATGGCCGACCTGTATAGAGAAATACATGTATAGAAATGTATAGTATACAAGATAGTGGATGAAACTTAAGTATATAACATGACATACTGTATACAATATATTGCATACACATGATGCATTTCCACCCCCCTTCCCCTCCCTTTCTCCGTAGCTCGTCTTGCATTACATGTATGCATATATGTATACTTAATAGATGCATAATCATGCATTTAACTGATTTGGCTTTTGACAGTTTTCACAGATAGCAGACTCATTCCCAGGAATGGAAATGCCTGCTGTTGCTCCTCAGGGAGCCACACCACAACCCATTAGACTGAGAAACCCTCCAAAGTGGTTTGCTCGAACTGCTGGAGCAAGTTTTGCAGTAAGATTATTTAGACACTTTTTTTCCTCATAGTTAATATAATTTAAATTTCTTGGTAGAATTTATTCTTTAACTTCTCTGCTGTCTCCCATTCACTCAGTTGCCATCTTTCCACAAGTGGGATTACATTACAATCAGATTACAACATCAACTGCAGCATCCCCACTCCCTCAGAGTGCAGGTACTTCTCTTCCCACCTCCAGGATGCAAGTTCTGCTCCACTCAACAACTTGTCCATTAACCCCTTACCTGTCCAAACGTAGATCTACGTTTTCTTGCCCAGTCCTCCAAATATTTTAAAAAATAATTTATTTTTTTAACCCGTAAATGGTCCAAAAGTATATAGTATATGTTCACTACCCCAGTGCCCCGAATATTTTGAAAAATAAAAAAAGTCGTTTTTTTTTTTAATGAAAATAAAGAGCACATTTTTCTAAAATTATCTTTCTTCTTTCAACACACCGGCTGTATCCCACCGAGGTGGAGTTATAGGATAAAAAAAAATTTGGGCCAGTACTTAGAGATATGAGGCAGAGATGTTGGCACTGGATGCTCACGTGACAGCAACATCAAGTCCTGCTGCTTGCAGAAGTGTTGCCGATACCTTTTTTCTATTTTTCATATTTTGTATAATTTTTATGTTCTGATAATTACAATTTATTGTAGTTCTTGTCATTTCATAACCTATCTTTGTTCTGACACTAGTATTAGATACTGAAATTGTAATCAAATTATTGCAAACACACTGACAGGTGGACATTTACACTTGCCTTGGCCATTTACTGTTGTCTTGGAATACAGTGGACCCTCGACCAACGATGGCATCGTCTAACATTAAATCCGACTAGCGATACATTTTAACGCAAAAATTTTGCCTCGACTAGCGCTAAAAAACTCGACCAACACGATTCGTTCCGTTCGAGACGCGTCCACTTGTGGCCAGTGTTTACAAGCCAGCCAGCCACCGCGGTCCCATCCAAACATACAATCGGAACATTTCATATCACAGTGTTTTTAGTGATTGCACCTGCAAAATAAGTCAAGATGGGCCCCAAGAAAGCTTCTAGTGCCAACCCTACAGCAAAAAGGGTGAGAATTACTATGGATATGAAGAAAGAGATCATTGCTAAGGGGTTGGAGGTTAGTGGGGAGGATGTGGAAGAGTTAGTGGAGGATGACAATGATGAACTAACCACTGATGAGCTGCAAGATCATCTTCAACAGCAAGAGGCAAGACCTGAGGAAACTGCTCCGGTGGAGAGGATAGAGAAATTGAGGAAGTTGCCTACTTCAAAGATTAAGGAAATGTGTGCAATGTGGCTTAAAGTGCAAACCTTTTTTGATGAAAATCACCCTGACACAGCTACTGCAAGCTGTGTTGGCAACCTGTACACTGACAATGTTATGGCCCATTTTAGGAAAGTCTTAAAGGAACGGGAGGTACAGAGCTCTATAGGCAGATATGTTGTGTGACGGAGGTCCAGTGACTCTCAAGCTGGTCCTAATGGCATTAAAAGAAGGGAAGTAACCCTGGAAAAGGACTAGACACCTCAAGTCCTAATGGAAGGGGATTTCCCTTCTAAACACTCACACCATCCACACTCCCCTCCTCCCATCCCATCAATCATCACCAGATCTTCAATAAAGGTAAGTGTCATGTAATTGTACATGTCTTCTTAAGTTTGTGTGTATTAAAATTAATTCATGTGGTAAATTTTTTTTTTTTCAATACTTTGGGGTGTCAGGAACGGATTAATTTGATTTCCATTATTTCTTATGGGGAAAATTAACTCGAGTAACGATAATTTCGACTAACGATGGGCTCTCAGGAACGGATTAATATCGTTAGTCGAAGGTCCACTGTATATACAAGGTATTTATGGGTCCTGGCAAAGTTTTGGATATGTGGAAGTATATAATAATAATAATAATAATAATAATAATAATAATAGTAATAATAATAAGAAAAGTGATGAGGGTATCAAATGATTTAGGTAAAGAAAAATTGGATATCAAATTGGAGAGGAGTAGTATGGAAGAAGTGAATGTTTTCAGATATTTGGAAGTTGATGTGTCAGTGGATGGATTTATGAAGGATGAGGTTAATCATAGAATTGATGAAGGAAAAAAGGTGAGTGGTACATTGAGGTATATGTGGAGACAAAAAAACGTCATCTGTGGAGGCAAAGAAGGGAATGTATGAAAGTATAGTAGTACCTACACTCTTATATGGGTGTGAAGTTTGGGTTGTAAATGCTGCAGCAAGGAGGCGGTGGAGATGTCCTGTCTAAGGGCAATGTGTGGTGTAAATGTTATGCACAGAATTCGGAGTGTGGAAATTAGGAGAAGGTGTGGAGTTAATAAAAGTATGAGTCAGAGGGCTGAAGAGGGGTTGTTGAGGTGGTTTGGTCATTTAGAGAGAATGGATCAAAGTAGAATGACATGGAGAGCGTATAAATCTGTAGGAGAAGGAAGACTGGGTAGGGGTCATCCTCAAAAAAGTTGGAGGGAGGGGGTAAAGGAGGTTTTGTGGGCGAGGGGCTTGGACTTCCAGCAAGCATGCGTGAGTGTGTTAGATAGGAGTGAATGGAGACGAATGGTATTTGGGACCTGACGAGCTGTTGGAGTGTGAGCAGGGTAATATTTAGTGAAGGGATTCAGGGAAACTGGTTATTTTTATATAGCCGGACTTGAGTCCTGAAAATGGGAAGTATAATGCCTACACTTTAACCCTTTGACTGTTTCAGGCCTCTCTCTGAAACTGTCATTCTATGTCGCTCAATTTTTGAAAAAAAAAAAATTATTTTTTCTTATGAAATGATAGAGAATCTTTTCCCGATGGTAATGACACCAAAAGTTTGAAATTTGGTCGAAAACTCATGGAATTATGCTCCCGCGAATTTAGCGGTCTCGGCGACATGTGTATTGGCGATTTTGCCGACTTTGAGCCCTATTTTCAACCAATTCCATTGTTCCAGTTGACCAAACTCATAGCTATTTCTTTAGAACTCCATTTTATCTATCAGCTGAGTACAAGAAACCTCACATTTACTAATTTGGACTGCCAAATATGGTGGTCAGAAATTGGCAATTTGGCCAATTTCACGCAAACTAAAAAAGATGCCAATTTCAAAATAGGGTCCAGAATAAGCAAGGTAGACATTCGTGGCACTAAAATAACATATGCTCTGTTCATTAGTCACATCTCTAGGCTCCTCTTATATTATTATTGCTTTCTATTTTGATTTTTTATTCATACAAAAAAATACAAAATTTACTGTTATGCAGACTACTGCATTATTGTAAAAATGGTATAAATAATATCAGTGCACTAGTGAAAGAATATTAGACTCCCCAGTTGACATGTATTGGACGTGTGGTGTGATTTATTTACTCCTGAACATTGGTAAAAATCGAACATTTCCGCTACTTTGAGCTCAGTTTTCAAGGTCGTTTTCATCGTCAAAGTAATGAAAATCATCTCTATTTCTGTAATATGTTTTCCATTTTATCACCTACGACCATGAAAACGCGAATACAACGATAAATACTATACGAAAATACACCTCAAAGTCGGCGTTTTATTCCAAAAAAACGATCAGTTTTTTTTTTTCTCATTACGCAATGTGTGCTGCAGGATTTTTTTTATGTGGTGCACACTGACCACACAGACATGTGGGCCTACCAGCTTTCTCCCGCTTGATTTGAAGCCGCTAGAATTATTGAGTATATATATGTCAGAAACATTGGCCCGTAAGACGTATTTATACGTTGAAAACAGTCAAAGGGTTAAAGGAGGGATTTTGGATATTGGCAGTTTGGAGGGATATGTTGTGTATCTTTATATGTATATGCTTCTAAACTGTTGTGTTCTGGGCACCTCTGCAAAAACAGCGATTATGTATGAGTGAGGTGAAAGTGTTGAATGATGAAAGTATTTTCTTTTTGGGGATTTTCTTTCTTTTTGGGTCATCCTGCCTTGGTGGGAGATGGCCAACTTGTTAAAAAAAAAAAAAAATAATAAGTTCCCTTGAAGCTTGATGCAAGTGTGTCACTTATCTCTTCACTCCACTGCTGACAATGATGAGCGTCATCTTATCTAATCTTATCTCTCCGCTAATGACAGTAGTGATATTTGATGAGCCTTTGCTTTATTTGTTTTCACTCTTATACATAAACATGTCTGTCTGTCTCTCTGCCTGTCTATCTGTCTCTCTGTCTCAAAGAGTTCCTCATGAACCATCTGGTATTACACACAGTCACTATCTACAAGCACAGTATAGCACTTTGGATTTTTTGGGTTATTCTAGGTAATTTACACTATGTAGAATTGTATTTACGTATGTGTTCCTGTGAGATAGAGACAGGGATAGATACAGACACAGACAGACGGAGATACAGTCAATCAGCCAGCCAGCCTGCCGAAATTACAGTTCCAGACTTTTCTTTTTACTTAGGGCATAGGTTATAGGACATTCTGGCAAGATGACACTTTCCTCTTAAAAGGGGAGTGTTAATACGACATGTCATCAGTGAATCCTTGGTGTTTGCCGCCCTGTTTGCTCTAGCTGCCGCTCAGTTGAACTGCTGCTCCCTCAAGATACTAAATGGTCCCAGATTTTTTTTAATACAACGCGCACCGAGGGTTAAGACCCATTCTATGCTGACAGGCATCTTAGGCCAATTGTGCCAAATTTGGAGGCACGAAAAATAAAACATAGATCTACGTTTGGAGCGCTAGTGGTAAGAACGTAGATCTACGTTTGGACAGTTAAGGGGTTAAAAACCACTTGTCTCCATTCACTCTAATCTAACATGCTTATACAGGCTTACTAAATGCTCAACTCCCTAAAACTCTCAGCTTTTTGTATTCTCTCTGTTTTCTTTGAATCACCCTGCCTTGGCAGTAGATGGCCATTGAGTAAAAAAAAAAAAAAATATATCACAGTACTGTTTACAGTATATGCTTCTATAAATCAATTTCACATTATTGTAACATGTCTTGTCGTGAAACTAAACATACGTATTTGTGAAAAAAGTGTCTTGTACAGTATAGTAAATGATACTATCGTACATTTGACTACATATATCTGTATTGGGATTTAATACGTCTTTTCATTGTCAGTTTGGAGGGCGTTTATTGTCCTGGAACAACCAGAGTAAGAGTGTAGAAATTGCCCAAGTTGTGACAGAGCAAGCTTTGGTTGAACGCAGCATTCAGTTGGAGGCGGCACTCTCACAGCCACATTTTGCTCCGTTTTGTCAAGCTAAAGCTGAAGCAGCTTTTCAGCCAAGTGATCAGGTGAGTTATTTTGAAAAGTTACTTTTAACTTGATATTTTATAAAGGACTGAAGCACAGTTTCCATGTAAATTTGTTCTTTGTTTCCATGGTAGTTTTAAGAGCTCTTCAAGGATGGCCTCTGTTTACCTAACAGTAAAAATGAACACAATTGTATTAGTTGACTTGTGGGTAGCATTAAGTAAAAAGTACTGCTTTGCAAAATTGAGAAAATGTATTCTGCTGAAATTTATATCCTGGGCAGTATTCATGTGCAAGATGGGTATTCAGTAGTTGGGTAAAAAGTGTGTGCAGAGTGCACTGTATGTAACTGTCTTACGTAATAAAAAAAAATGGCCACAGATTTTTTTTTTTTTTTTCAGATACTGTGGCAATATATTGGTGCCAACTTTGATTCTTCACCCCGTAATAAGTACATGGAGCTGTTAGGTTACTCTCCTACACAAGTATCTACAAAGATTCACCCATTGATTTCTGAGACTGAAGGATTCAATGCTGAATTTTTGGCTGACAAGATGGCTGATCTAGCAACAAATGTAAGTTTTACAAAGTGTAAAGTTATTTTTTCTTTACCCAGTGCTATGCATTGGAGAACTTGCTATCTTCTGGCAGCCATGTTATTAGGTTAGGCAGTGTGTATTGCCATTCCTCATTGACTACAATGAGTTGTGGTGACTACCTGGGCCATCAGTATATGTGAGTACCTGTACATATAAATTTTTTGGGAGAAGCCATTCATTAATGCAGATCAGTTGTCTAAATTCTGAGGATCAGTATGGATTAAGCTGTAGTGGCTCTTAACTGGTCCATTAATTGGAGGTTCTGTGTAATGCAAGCAAGTACAGTGGAACCTCAAATATCGAACTTTCTTCGGTCCAGAAAGCTGTTCGAGTGCCTTTACCGAATGAATTTATTTCCATCAGGAATAATGTAAATTAGATTAGTCCATTTCAGACCCTCAAAAATACACTTATAAAAGCACTTACAAAAATACACTTACATAATTGGTCGTGTTGGGAGCAGTTCGATTTTTGAGGTTCCACTGTACGTGTATAAACCATCTGGTATCATGCTTTGGAAGTTGAAGTGTGTATGTAGTGTGATTAGAAACCAACCTTACTCAGTATTGTCACTTCCCAAATAAATTATACTGCTACTACTTGCCAGTGATTAAAGATATAACCATTTTAGTCATCTGCAAGTAGTAGCACTGTAATTTACTATTAAGAAAGTGAGAGTTGTGAGGCTTGCCAATGATGACATGTACACTTCCAAAGCATAATGCCAGATGGCCTTTCATTGTACTTGTTTTCATTAGACAGTCACTTGCATAATATGCAAAGTAAAGTGGGTGTGAGGTATAGGCTTTAAATGTTGCAGTGAGAAGGCTAGAAACAGTTGAAATGCCTTGTTTGAAAGCGATGTGTAGTATGTGTGTTATTCTGAGAATTTGGAGTGTAGAAATTAAAGACTGTAGGGTTACCAAGGGTATAATTCAGAAGGTTGAGTAGGATTTGTTTCAGTGGTTGATCACTTTGAGAGGATGGAGGAGAAGGAAATGACCAAGTGGGTATATAAATCTGGGGTAGAAGGAGGGGTAGGAGTTATCCCAGGGAAGGTTGGAGAGAGGGGGTAAAGGAGATTTAGTTATAGGGGCTTTAGCATCCAGCAGGGTTTAGTGAGCATGTTAGATTAGTGTGAATGGAAACCAGTGGTCTCTATGGCAGCTTGATGTGTTGGAGTGTGAGCAAGGTAACAATTAAAATGGGAGTCATGGAAACTGGTATGTAGGATTTAACCACTTGACTGTCGCAACCCCAAATCCTGAGGGGTCTCCTGGTGTCTCAAAATTTCTGAAAAAAAAAAAAAAATTATTGTTTCTTATGAAATGATAGAGAATCTTTTCCCAATTGTAATGACACCAAAAGAACGAAATTTGATGGAAAACGACGAAATTACGCTCTTGCGAAGTTAGCGACCTCAGCTAAATTTACGAATCGGCGATTTCGCCCTCTTTGAGCCCTATTTTCAGCTAATTCCAGTGTTCCAGTTGACCAAATTCATAGCTATTTTTTAGAACTCCATTTTTTCTATCGATTGAGTACAAGAAACTCCCCATTTACCGATTTCAAATACCCAATAACGGGGTCAGAAATTTGCAATTTGGCCAATTTCATGAAAATTAAAAAATATGATAATTTCAAAATAGGGTCCAGAATGAACAATGCAGACATTCCTGGCTCTAAAATAACATTTTCTTTGTTCATCAGTCATGTCTCCAGGCCCCTCTGATATTACTCTTGCTTTCTGTTTTGAACTTTTATTCAAACAAAAAATAGAAGATATACTGTTATGCAGAGTACTGCAGTATTGTGATAATTGTATAAATAATGTCAACCCATTCATGACTGTATATTAGAATGGCTACTTGGACATTTATTGGAAAATGACATCATTTGTTTACTTTTGAACATCGGCAAAAATCAAACATTTTCCCTATTTTGAGCTCCATTTCAAGGTTCTTTTCATAGTAAAACCAATAAAAATCACCTCTATTTCTATAATATGTTTTCCCATTCTATCAAATGAGATCAAGAAAACGAGAATACAACCATAAATACTATTTGAAAATAGACCACAAAGTCGGCATTTTAATTAAAAAAAAAAGTCGGAGTTTTTTTTTTTTTTTTTTTTTTTTTTTCTATTTTGCACTGCGTGCTGCAGGATTTTTTTTATATGGTGCACACTGACCACACAGACCCATTCTCTCACATGTGGGCCTACCAGCTTTTTCCTGCTTGATTTGAAGCCACTATAATTTGAGTATATATAGATAAAAAAGGTGGCTCGTAAGATGTATATCTTCTTCTTTCAACAAACCGGCCGTATCCCACTGAGGCAGGGTGGCCCAAAAAGAAAAACAAAAGTTTCTCTTTTTAAATTTAGTAATTTATACAGGAGAAGGGGTTACTAGCCCCTTGCTCCCGGCATTTTAGTCGCCTTATGGAGGAAGAATTCTGTTCCACTTCCCCATAGAGATAAGAGGAAATAAACAAGAACAAGAACTAGAAAGAAAATAGCAGAAAACCCAGAGGGATGTGTGTGTATATATATGCTTGTACATGTATGTGTAGTGTGACCTAAATGTAATAGAAGTAGCAAGACGTACCTGAAATCTTGCATGTTTATGAGACAGAAAAAGGACACCAGCAATCCTACCATCATGTAAAACAATTACAGGCTTTCGTTTTACACTCACTTGGCAGGACGGTAGTGCCTCCCTGGACGGTTGCTGTCTACCAACCTACTACCTAGGATAAGATGTATATATACGACCAAAACAGTCAAGGGGTTAAGTCATGGAGGTGGGAAGTACTGTGAGTGTACTCAGGTGTAGGGATGCTGTAGCTTCAAGGGTCATATAAATTCTTTGTTTTAGCAGGACTGCTGTTAAATGAATGATGCTGATCTTTTTTTCTTTTGGTTTTCCTACCTTTGTGGAAGATGGCCAGTTTGGTTAAAAATGTCCAACATTATTTTAGCATGTTGCATGAATGTGATGTAGCAACACACATGCATATACGTACATTTACCAAAATGTTTCTTCCCTTCTAAAAGGAAAAAGAGAAAGCAGCTTACATGAATACTGTATAAGCAAGATTCCACTATATAATTATCACATACTACTATTCACACTCGCTTTACCCTCACTGCTTCACGACAATGTAGATATATTCTTGGATGGAGAAAAAGGGGTATTGGGCTTGTAGAGACCTTGCTCAGTCACTCAGCATTCAAAAATGGGTAGTTATTTGCTGATTTCCTTTTACTTTCAAACTTTCGTTGACCTTAAACTTCTTTTTATTCATTAATGCATGCTTTAATGGGAGCAAGTGGCTAGTAACCCCCTTTCCTTTATAAATTACTAAATTTAAAAGAAAAACTTTCATTTTTCTTTTTTTAAGAAAGTTTTTCTAAAAAGAAAGACTTTCTTTTTCTTTTTAGGTCACCCTGCCTTGGTGGGATATGGCCGGTTCATTGAAAAAAAAAAAAAAAAAGAAGCATTCATTAACACTTAGACATTCAGAAGAGTGTCCACCCCTGTGCCTATAATTACTTTTTCCAATATATAGTGGAACCTCTAGTCACGACCATAATTCATTTCAAAACGCTGGTTGCACCCTGAACCTAATTTCCCCATTGGATTGTATGTAAATTCGATTAATCCCTATCAGACCCCTACAAACTGTATGTAAATATTTTTGTTTTTAAAGCACAAAAATAGTTATACCATAGAATTCACAGTATAATAGTAAACTAAATGTTAAAACCTTGAATAACAGAGAAAACTAACATTACATGAGTCCATTCTAGACCCATACGAACCGTTTGCTGTAAACTTTTTTTTTTTCAAGAGTTTTAAGCATAGAAAAAATAATCAGTTTGAAAAATCCTTAATTATACAAAATAATGCACAGTTTAATAGATAAAAAACTTAAATAACAGAGTTAGGAAAATTAGCGCGTGCAAAAAAATGGTGCGGAATGTGAAAATTGGTGCGGCTGTGTTTGGCACCTGATTTTGTGTTCGTGACCAGATGCAAAAATTTGGCAAATTTTTTGGTCGTGAACTGATTTGTTTATGTTTGGAAGCGTTCATGACCAGAGGTTCCACTGTATTGCCAATGATAATATTCAGTATCTTTTAGAAATTGGAGAGAAATTCTTCCCAGAGGAGATAATAGTCTGCTGGCATGTTCTAAATGGAACAGTTTTTAAAAATATTGCATTTGTTGGAATAACCCATGTTCATAAAAGTGCAATAGTTATTAATATTGATTATGTAATACAGTAATTAATGGTACAAAATATAAGGTATTTGTTAAGGTAGCTTAAATGCTTAATCATGTAATTATCTTATTTGCTAAATATCAGATGTATTATATAGCTACAGTATTGCCCTATCTTGTGTTGCAGTCAGAAAAAATGTGGAGTCCTGTCAATTTTCCCATTTATTTACATAAACAAATTGTTGTAACGCATGCTTGCCTCCAGAGAAGACCTCAGTCGTTCAATAATGGATGGTTGTTGGTTCCAGTGAGTATAGCATAGCATTATTATTTTCTGTACCAGAGCACAGTACAGTACTCTAAATATTTGTACTAGATTGATAACCAATTTTGGATAGCTGTGCCTTTTGATGGTTTACTGAATCCTGCATTAATTTCCCTTCATTCCTATACATATCTTGTGCCTCACTTCCCTCAGTAAAACTTTTGCTTTGTCAATTTTTTTTTTTTTTTCAACTTAATTATTCCATGCATTTACAACAAGTGCCACAACACATTATGATTACACTACCATGCATCTCTTCAGTGTATAGGTGTACCTTGCTTTAAGGCACTGCTTTGAAGTACTTCTCTAATACAGCACTTTTCAGTATTTTTTTTTTTTTTTTTTTTTTTTTTCTCCAACAAGTCAGCCGTCTCCCACCGAGGCAGGGTGACCCAAAAAAGAAAGAAAATCCCGAAAAAGAA